CGCAATGATCAAAGCCACACGAGGTTAAAAAGCGCCGAAAAGAAAATAGTGGCGAGTGAAGAAAGAAGCCTCAGAACTTCAGCTGCTGTGCCGTTTTGTGTTGCTCCCGAAAAAAATCAAAAGTCTATGCCCATATTGTCTGTGTGGTACGGGTGGGAAAGAAAAAAGAAAAGGAGAAAACAAAGAGTGGGAGGCATGGTATAGATCGACTCCCGAAAGGCATCAGGGGAGGAGACGAAAATGTCGCAGAGTTGATGGGGGAAAAAAAAAAAGAAAGAAAAAGAGACGAGTTTGGGTATTAAGGATGAAGGGAAAAAGAGAAAAAGAAATCACAAAAGCTGGTTCGTTTTCAGTGGCCGCCTTTCGCTCACTGCTTCCCCTCGCTGAAGCCACCGCTCCGACGTCGTTTTTGTGGCGGCTCACCCGCTTCCCCGCGGGCGTTCTGGGGCAACTGAGGCTGCGGATGGCCATAACCTCGCTGGGGAGCGAGCGAGCTTGTTGATGACGCCCGTTGCTGGTGCAACCGCTCGCGAACGACCTGTGGGCCACCCAACGTTCTGCTGGAAGCCAGTCCAAGCGTCTCTGCTCTCAACTGAGCCTCTACCTCCGCAATCAAGTCGGCATTTGACCGGCCGTCCCTCGTGGTCGAGTATGTCGAGTTGTATCCCGGTCTGGCTCTTGACAAGTTCCGGGGGGCTGGGGCCGGCTGAGTAGTAGGGTTCGCGCCGCGGGCGGACATTCCCTGACGCACAGCTGCCGAAAATGGGTGCGTGCATGGTGCGTTCAGATCGGGTAACAAAGACGGAAAAGCAGACGGGTTAGGACGGAGGATCGAAGGGCTCCTCAGAGAGTCGGCCGGTGCAGGCGGCGCTGAAAACTGCAACAGGTTATGGCGCATAGTATCGGGGAGGAGGGTGCCCCTGCCCATGTTGCTGTTGCTGCCCATACCCGGTTGGAGCTGCCGCCCGGCGCGAAGCAGCCCAGTCAGCCCGACGGAACTTTCTTGGGTGAAGGGAAAGGAAACAGGGGGGGCAGGGAGGGGCATCTGTTGCTCACCGCTTGCTCCTAGCGGGCCACTTGGTTGGAATGGCCCCCGGGGGGCAGCACCAACTGAGCCAGGAAAACTGGCCATGCTCGGGAAAGCACCATGGGGAGGCCCCGGGCGAGAGCCCGAAGGAGGGGCAAAGTTCGAAGCTGGAGGGCCGTAGCCACGGGCGGCACCGAAACGGGCCCGAGTCCTCCGCATGCTTTCGGTCGAGGGGTCGGAGGGAGAGGCCCGGCGCTCCCCGCTCTGGACACTTCTCGACGGCGGGTGGGTAGGCAATCGGCTGCCTGGTTCTGGGCCATGCCGATATGGCATTCCTACAAACTCTCCCGTCCTGTTGACAGCTGTTAGCATACCCACTCAACAGCGCCACAGCTTTTGAAATCCCAAACAACTCACGCTCGAATATATCCCTGAACACTGGGGGGCATGACAGGGTCAGAAGGCACCTTGTCTCGGCAGTAAGGGCAGCTGTCAGACTCTTCAAACCACTTCTTGATGCAGTGGTCACCGAAAATGTGCTTGCACTTTGGAAGTCGAAGCGGAGCCTCGCTGATCCCCTCGGGACTCGTCACTCCAAAGTCATTGTAGCAAATGACACAGGCTGTCAGCCAAGTCAGCACCGTTGAGCTCGAACTGACACCTGGAGGGGCAGGGGGCACTTACTTCTCTCGGATGCCGTCAGGCTCTCCATATCGACGCTCTGCAGTGAGGCCAATGCTTTCTTGGAGGCCACACGCTTGTTGCTCGACATCTGGCCACGAAGAAGCTGCTGTTGGCGGAGACGACTCTCGTCCGGCATGTATCCGTGGCCGAACTGGGAGGCAAAGCGGTACGCTTCATCGTCGTCGTCGATCGGGCTGTAGTCCTCTTCGCTTTCATCGTAGTCGTCGCCGGTTGGTTGGGCCAGCTCAGCACGAGCTCGACGAATCACGCTTCGGCGTTGTTCACCACTGAACCCCCGATACATGGCCAGGGTCGAGTCACCGGCGGTCATTGGGCGAGGTTCGGGAAGCGGTAACTGACCGGACGCCATGTTGCTCCCGGGGCCACGATCCGATCGTCTCGACGGCTCCCCTGAGCCATTGACCGGCTGGGGCAAGCCAGAGGACGCCGGGCCGGCTCCGGAACTTGGGTTGGAAGACATGTTGGTACCCGAAGCTGCCTGGGAGGGCTGAGCGGCGGGGGCATCGCCGGGAGAAGGGCGGTCGGTATTCATGGCTACGGAAGACAGCGCCTCCCGGCCAGGCTGACTCTGGTAAAGTTGGTGGGTTTGGTTTTGGGTTGACGCTTGAGGAAAAGACGGAGCTTGTGGCAAGCCCGAGTGGCTCTGGTGGTTCTGAATAGCTGGCGCCACCGAAAACCGGTGGAGGGCAGAAGGATGGCGGTAGGGGAAGGAGAAAGGTGGTGGCACGGTGGAATCGAGATGTGGAAGATTTTGGTTCGAGTGAAAGCTGGGTAGCACAGAGTTGGACCCGCTAGGGTTTGTACTCCCTGCTCCGCCGTTGGGAAAGAATTGATCGGAGCCTGACGGCCTCAGGATTGACTGCAGCTGCAACGGAACCGAAAGGAGCGGGACGGCATGTGACGGGGGAGGGCCGGGGGCAGAAGCGGGGGCCACCCACTGATATGCGGGACTGGCGCTCTGTGCCGAAGAGGACCATCCGGGGTAGATTGGATCGTAGTGCGAGTGCGGATGGGGATGAGAGAGGGAGTGCGAGTGCGAGTGCGAGTGGGACTGGGAATGAGGCAGTGGCAGAGACAATGGGGGGGGTTGAGTCTGTTGTTGTTGTTGTTGTTGTTGTTGGTGTTGTTGTTGTTGTTGTTGGTGTTGTTGGTGTTGTTGGTGTTGTTGGTGTTGTTGGTGTTGTTGTTGCTGCTGCTGCTGCTGCTGCTGCGGTTGTTGTGGTTGTTGCTGTTGCTGTTGCAGCTGTCCGTGGCTGGGCTGTTGAGGGTGATGGTGTGGCTGAAGGGAGAGGTTGCGGCTGTGGGATGGCCGAGGAGCGTGGGGTCCTTGGTTTTGTCTGGACAGGTGGTACAGAGAGTTAACGCCATGGTGGTAGTGCGGGTATGAGGGGTGAAGATGAGGCAAGCCTGATGGCTGGCGATGCTGTTGTTCATTCCGGAAAAAGGGGCAACCGCCCTGACTCTGTGGTGGCACACCTTGGAATCCGGAATGCGTTGCTGGATGTGCGGGCGCCTGAGAGGTTGGCACCTCGGCCTGGTGCATCTCATAGTCCATTTGATCCATCTTGTTCTGCTCAGTCACCCGGACCGTGGTTCTGATTGCGATTCACAACGGGTAGCTGCAGTAGATAGCCTATGGGGGTGTGAGGCTGCTGCAGTTTCCGCCGTGAACTTCCTGATCCGTGGTTGGGCTCCTTTCAGCGGAGATGGCAACTGTCCCAGGTGTTTTGGACAAAGAAAGCGAAACTCCTGAGCTTGTGGCTCTCACCGCTCTGCCGTTCCCTAAAAATGCTCTGGCTCGTAATCCTCTCTTGCTTCCAGCCGGTGGTGGGACTTCGTGATGGTTAGGTTGAATATTGGCTCAGTCTAGTGGCTGAGAACCTCGATGGCCCAGATTTACGACTGGCAAAGCTGAAACTTTGATCCTCCACCATGCATAAGTAAATGTCGAGCGTGTCCGAGTCTTCCCAACCGCAAAAACGGGCTCGTTTCGGGGTCGTGGACAGGGTTAGAGTTCGTCGGTGATTGATGCTCACTTTCGCCGTCGTGTTATCACCAGATATACTCGCTGAGGTCAGGCAGTCGCAAACCAGGGGCAATGTTCGTGGAAGTTTTCTACTCTGCAACTTGAGCGCAACCGGCGGAGTCAGTTATTTATCTCCAAGAAAAATCTAACTGCTCACAGCAGTCTCGTGCCCTCCGGCGGCAGGCTCTGCCCATCACGCCCCTGCAAAATCCCAGAGGGAAGGGAGGGGAGGGGTGGGTGGGGGGTGAATTGCTCTTGGTTGCTCACTTATTCATTCATAAATCCCACGTATGAGGTGACAGCTAGATAGACCGAGCTCCAGACTCCACACCGGGCCAGAGGGCTGATAAGACCAGAAAGAAAACCGCCGATAAGCCGAGAGGCAGAAGATAAAAGCGCTTGGTTGGAGATGTGCTCCGACAAGGACACAGAAGCTGAACAAGAGAGCAAAGACCTCAAAGGGATGGTGGCGAGGATACGGGTTCGGCTGTGTGTTGAGGGAAGGCAGGTGCCGGGAAGAGAGCAAAAGGGAGAAGAAAGGGAACGGGCGGAACAGGCTGTTGGGGATCGTGTCGGTTTTGTATCATCAAAAGCAAGAAAGACCCGAAGCAGCATGGAGCCTGAGCATGGAACATGGGGGGCAGGGCGGAGCAAAAAAAGGCAAGGCACTTGTCCCGTCGAGCAAGTTCCAGTTTCAAGCCCAAGTAGGTATCAGTTTCCTTAGCAGGACGAGCCCAGTCAAGTCCAAGTCAAGGCTGGCTGGATAGGCTTGGTCATGTCAGGTCAGGTCACCGAGTCACCAAGAGTCACCCGTAATCAATTCGTTTCTGGTCACTCGTTGGTCACAGGCGGGACTGCAGAGCAGGCACTAGTAAGAGCCACCTCCAACCCGCTACCTCTCTTACGCTCGCGAGAAAAAAGCAGCAAGGAAGAGAGAGTAAGAGGGATCCTCGATCACTCGCAGGTCTCGCTCGCATCGGCGGCATCTTTGCCAGCCAAACCGAGCGCCGCTGTTGGTGGACTGCAGCGGGTGGATCCCCTGTACGTACCGTAACCTACTGTACCGTACACAGCGCTGCGTAGAAAAAGACCGTCAAAGACATGAGCGGCCGCACCCTTCCTTCTTGCAGGGGCCGCTTCTTTTTTCCCCTCCCTGATCCGTCCAGCCAGCAAGCCAGCCAGCCAGCGCTGTGCTTTGGTGCTATGCTGGGGGGGCGGGGGACGGACGGAGGAGAGGGGTGAGTGAGGGGTGCGAGGGAGGGGCTTCTGTGGAAGTCCCGTCTGAGACTCCAAAAAGGCAAAAAGTGGAAGGCACAAACAACCGTTCTCAAAGGAACCTAGCCAAGGGCGTCGAGTGTACAGTGCCAAATACCAGGCGGGCAGCCAAAAACCAAAAAAACCAAAAAAACAAAAAAAAAAAACCAAAAAAAAACCACAAACTTTCCAACCTGAAAAAAAAAAGGCAACACAAGTCTCAACAAAGCGGCGGCCGGTAGCCTGGGCTGGACTGTGTGTGGTGCGGGGATGCAGCATGGCCCGTCCAAGGGACCGAAAATGAACAAAACTCGGAGAAAACGGACCATTGTCAGCATCGAGATTACGAACAAGACATGCTGAAAAGCAAATCGTCAAAAGGCAATCCCGTAACCGTAAACCGGAAAAGCAGCTTGCGGCAGCAGGTCGCAAATGGCACCCACAACAGAAGCACTTCAGACGGGGAGCACTTCGGTCTCAAAGTCCGGTACCGCCGTGTGTGCGCCTGGATGTGCCAGCGGTTGGAGGTGTGCTGTGTGTTCTGTACAGCGTCACTTGGTCGCCTTTTTATTAGGCTGCCTGGATTCTGTGGGAATAATACCCGTCTGTCTCTCTGGTGAGGTATTGAACGGTAATCAAACAACCCAACCCAATCGCAATCCCGCCCACTGCCACACACCAACCCCAACCCCAACCCCAACTGGAAGCTGTTCACCGTGTCGACGCCCCATGCCCAGCGCCCATCCTTGGACCTGGACCTGGACGAACCTGAAGCCGAACATGAACCTTGTCCCTGCCACATCACCCTTTCTGCCACCGTCCACCGTGTTGCAGCGTGCTGGCCCGGGGTGAAAGTCCACGAATTGTCAGTCTAGTGACCAGCCAGGAGTCCTTCAAGGTTGCCCTGGAGCGCAAGGAATCGCTGCTTCCGAGCCACATTATTACCGATGCCATCTTCTGGCCCGGTTCCGTCTCTCTGCATCAGAGCTGCGCTGGTTGTCATGCTGTGGCTCCGAGGCTGGAAGTGCGGCGAACAAAGGGACTTTTCACCAAACTCCATACTCGGAGCTGCTCTGATCCAAAAAAGTCCCTCGTATGCTGTGTTTACCGAAAATGGTATGCTGGTGTGTTCTGTACAACCCATATCCACCCAGACACCGGTCATCATGGCCGTCACCAAGCCGACTCTCCTTCCTCATCCTTCGCATGCTTCGGCTTTCGTGGCTCCTGCTATGCCGCAACCCATCACGCCCTCCCCCCCCCCCCCCCTCAAGGCAACGTGTCGCAAGCTAAGTCGCATTTTCCTCGGGCCTAGCCATCAAGCGATATCGACGCCTGAATTATCGCTCTATGTATGTATACACTACCGCCCCTCCCGCACTCGCCATTCGATTTCAACCATGGATCGCTTGCTCATAGCTCTGGGCGCATATTGATCAACAGCTTTCGAACCCAAAACCTTTGATTTTGGCAACACATTTTCCTGCCCTTCCGGCTTCTTGCTCCGGTGTACGTACTGGTTTGGAGCTCGGCTTGGCAAGCCAGATGCGCCCCGCTATTCCGTTTCTGTTTCCTTGTGCGCCTGGGATCCCTGCGGCCGGGATCTTATCTATTGGTCAGCCGACAGCCTCGAAATGAAGCTCAACACCTGATTCGTTTCCTTCCATCTTTGATCCTGGAGCTGATCATGTACCCCTGTTCAGAATGATGACATTCCATCTTATCAGCTTCGCCCGATCACTTACAAATGACGGCAATGCCCCGCTTCAAAAAGCTGTCTGAACCAAGCTCTCGACATCGAAACTGGACCGGAAACACGGCCTCGACCGTTTGGCTGCCGTGAGGGTGAAGGGGATGGGTTGGATGGCGTCCTGCGCAGCATCCGGTGATACTGGGCTAACTGCCACGCATGCCCAAGCTCTCGATGGTGAGCTGTGCTGCACTGGCGCGTTAGGTTTGATGCTCATGTTACCCCTCATCAACCCCTCCCCCCGTCTGTCCTGGGCTGGTCGTTTCTTTGATGGGCCTGGAATGCCCACCACGACCAGCATCGACCAGCATCGCCAGCCCTCCTCCCTGCCAAGCCGACATGGGAATGTGGGCGTCGGCAACTTTGTGCCATTGGCCGGCCGATGGTGCGCAACTCCATGTTGCTCTTTGGCGACGCATGTCTTTTCGCTGAGAAGCCGTCGTCAAACAGCCTTCCACTCCTGGCTTACCTGCATGGAAAGAGAAATAACGCTGCTTGACTCGCAAACACCCGGTCGACACGAGCAGCAGGTAGCGTCGTCGCACACGAGCAGTCCTGCCACCAACATCCAGAGATGCAAATAGCTTCGGGATTTTGGTCATAATCGCAACCGTAGCGCCCTCTGTGGCCCAGCACCAGCACCACCTCCAACAACAACCAACCCCCGACCCCAGCACCCGATAGAGAGCCCATGCTGGAAACCTCGACTCGACTTGCTTGTGTGTGGCCTGGCAGCAGCATGTCACCATGCTCTTTCGGACCGCTCTTTGCCACTCGACACTACTTACCACCACATCCTTGCAGCAAATAGCGCACCTCCGCACCACTGCAACCGCTTTCTTCGCACCAGGCGCAATCTGCGCCCAAAGGGAAAAAACGAATGAAATGGACCACCTGCCCCGTCTGTCGCAGTGCAATGTTGTGTGCTGGATGCCGAAAATGACAGCCAGATTCGTTTCGGGCCAAGGACAGTTCTCATCCGTACGGCATATCACATTTCGCCCCGTCGTATCCGTTCCGGCTTTGACAAGTCAATCCTTTTTAGCACTGACCCCCCGGTTCCCGTGTTGTGAGTTCAGCGAGAACACTTTTCCCAGCCACTCTGACTTTTGTTGTACGCTGTTCAACCGGAGCAAGGGGCACTGGTGTCCCCTTATCCAGAATTTCGTGGTCAAAAATTGAAATTTGCTCGTTGACTTCTGCGCTGACATTTGCGGTTGTTTTTCTATGGTATTGAATTTCTTCCGTTTCCGCCGTCGGCCCGGGGTTTACGGTTTACGGAGCCTCAAACAAAGCGGGGTTGGTCCCCGGACCCGGACCCGGCCCGGAAGCTCCAATGCTCTCGCCAAGCCGGACCGGGGGCCTTGCGTTTTCTTGCGCGCAATCCATTCTGGAGTCCTGCCGCTCCGTGTAGCCGACTTCGCTTCGGTGTTGTACTGCATTTAGTTATCGTGACCTTTAGTTTTATTTTATTTTAATGCATGTGCTGCACGGAGCTATCTCCGTCGTCGTACAGGACCGCGAGACCCCTAGGTGGTGTCCCGGTTCTTCAGTCATCAACGACCGCATTCTCGCTGGGCATGGAACCTGTGCTCTCAGATATGCAGAGATATCAGTACGGAGAGCAACACAGTGACTTTTGGTTCTACAATTATACAAGTATTTGTCTGATCGCTCGCACCAAAGTGTTCGGGCGTACCCGGTGCCTCGCCTTTTCCACGGCGTAGGTTGAGAACGCCTTGGCCTTACGATATAGTTCTGCTCCATATATTTCAGCGCAGTAATTTTCTCTGTTGCCACCGACGTCTTGGCTCCAAAGTTCTCTTCCAAAAGAAGCCTGCCAGTTCGTCAAGCTATCCATTCAGCTAAAGCCCGACTGTTACTGCCAAGTTGGCCGCGATACCACTGTAGAGCAGACTTCCCTCAGCAGGTCTCTCGACTGCGTGCGAAATGTTGGCAAGGCTGCTTCCGGAACGGGTCTGGCAACGGCCAGATCGCCGGCCTTGACGAATACAAAACTGCCTGCCCGAGAGACTCGCCTGTTGCTCACGTACACCTGGCCCCGAAACTGAGCGCGGGAAGCAAGGAGGCTTTTGTTCTCGAAAGCCATCGTTCAAATACAGTGCCGTCACTATGATGTCGACATCTTCCTCTCCCCCTTGCTGATTGAGACACAGAGAATATTAGTTTATTTACTCACGATCCCTGGTTCTTCTTTTTCAAGAAGGTTTAATGTTCGCTTTGGAAAGTGAGCTTTGCCATGCTGTCAACCACAAGACGCTCGAGAATACAAAGCTTTGTTTCATGGAGTGATTCGACCAAACTGTCTGATCTAATTGTGTCAAGATGGGCGGTTCTACCCGAGAAAAGGCAACATCCACCTCCCATGTGTCGATGCCATCTCTACCCCGATCCCCGCTTAACAAAGTCTGCTAACCTTTTAATCCCCCTCCCCTTCCTCTTCAAACTCCTCAAAGGCGACCTCGGCTCCTCACCCCACCTAAACCGTTCCTCATCCTCCGTCATCACAGAAGAGATGCTCTCCGGTTCCTCCACCACCGCAACCTTTTCCTTCCCCTTCCCCTTCCTCTTCCCCTTCGCCTTCGCTTCCTCTTCCTCTTTCTCTTTAGCAGCAAGACGCTCCAGCCGTCCCTTCAACCACTCCTCCTCTGCCCGATCCGCATCCTGTCTCCTCTTTCTGGCGGTTTGCATGTCGTTCAGCATCTGCTCCACCTCTTTGCGGGTCGCCTGCTCGTCTTCGTCTGCGTCCTCGTCAGAGAAGGCTTCAAACACTGCCTCGTGGTTGCCAGCAGCTTCGTCGCCGTCTATACTCTGGATCTCCCAGTCTTCATCTGTGCTGTCGTGACTGTCGGGATGGGATGTTTTCCCAGGGGAGGGCGCAGTTTGCGCAGAGGAGTTGGTGGTCGGGATGGTGGGATCTGTGGGGTTGCCTGAACAATAGACTCGGATGCCCTCGCCTAGTTGCTCGTTTTGTTGCCGGTCTGGACCTTGATTGTAGTACTGCCTTTCCCGTTGGTTCCGACTTTGGGTCTCTTCCTGAACATGGTCTTGTTTCTGGTCTGGAGCTTGTCCATGCCCCTGCTCCTGGTCCTGCGCCTGTCCTTGATCTCCGTCTTGATGCTCATGCCCGCCAACGCCATCACCAGCACCCTCGTCGTTCTCGGGGATAGCGCCCGTGTCGGGATTGGCATCGGGGATATACACAGGCCTGTCAGGTGGCGGTCGCGAACCAGAGGGCGGTGGGCTAGGCGGCGGACTGGGGGCCGGACTGGGAGCTGGACCAAGAGATGAAAACCTCTGGGCAGCCTTCTTTGCTCTCTTGTTGACAGACTTTGCCAACTTGTCCTGCTCCTCTTTGCTAGACCTTGGCTTGGACATGCTCTGCCGTCTCGATGGACCTTCTCCGGCTGGACCTCCAAACCCCGAATTCTTCCTTGTCGGTTTCGACAGTTTATCATGTGGCGGCTGGGTGACAAAATCATCCAAAACAACGTGGGGCCGCACGGTGCCGTGTATAGTCGTGTGTTCTTTGACACCGCCCTCTGGATAACTCGGTGGCGCTTCGCTGGTGTCTCTAGCTTTGCCCTTTTCCCTGCTTCTGCTTCTGCTTATCCTTACAGTCGACTCGCCCGGTTCATTTCCTGCATCGGCAACCTCATAGGAACCGGATTTGACGTGAATTTTCGTCCTGGACCGGTGCTGCTCTCCAGTTGTAGGGCGCACTACTGGGGTCTCATGCACGCCTTCTACGTCGATGACATACGCCTTGACCTTCTGAGGATCGTCCTTGCTATCGAGAATGACCGTCAACTTGTGCCCTTTGAGAAGATCTGGAGGGAAGCTAAGCTTGGGCAAGCCCTCTTCCACATCGAAACTCGGCTTCTCATCGACACTGTCACCATTATCCTCGGCTTCCAGGCTACCAGATGGGTTGTTTTCTTCGGGAATGATACCATTCGCGGTGTCAGCCGTCTTGTTCACCTTAGCATGACTGCGTTCCGGTAAGACATCCACAGTGTGCCGCCTACGTATCCCAGTGTTTGGGCCCGGATCTCCCCTATTCACGTTCGAGCCGCCATTGGCATCAGTGGTCTCTGGTGCAACAGGCTTCGATGCTTGGCCAGGATCGCCCTCTTTTGTTTCGGGAGCCACAGTATCATTGACAGGAGTCGAACTGTTGACTTTGGGCGCACTGTCACCAGGAACAGCAGGCTTTCCGGATGGTGGAGGGATCGACTGCTCATTAGGGTCGTTCTTGTCAATATTCGGTGCTCCATCACTTCCCGGAAATAGCCACTGTGAAACTTTGTCCGAACTCGCCTGCGCGTCGCCGCCAACCCGAGTCTGATGACCTTTCACCCTGATGGTTACGTCCTCGTCGTCGGTTGAAGGAGGGGGCCGAGAGTTTGCAAGACGTTGAGCATCCTCTTGCCACGTAGCAGGCCATCCAGCCACCTCCACGTCCGGCCACACCCCGTTAGGCGCCGTTGGAGGTTGGTTTGTCTGATAGTCTTGGGACGGCATCCCGGAAGCAGGCGGCGGCGCTGGCGGCGATGGAGTGTAAAAGTCAAAGGGGTTTGGTGTCCCGGCAACGTTGGCGGGCCCGGGTCCTTGTAGCCAAGGATATGTCCCGACATAGGGAGCAACATTGTGATGCACGGCATTTGGATTTTGTGGCTGTCCGTACGCGGTCGGGTAGTTGGAGTATGGGTAGTTGGAAGGCTGGTGGCTAAGAAATGGATCGTTATGAGCTGGGTAGTTGGGATTTGGGTAGTTGGGATTCGGGTAGTTGGGATTTGGGTAGTTGGGATTTGGGTAGTTGGGGTTTGGGTAGATGAAGGGATACGGATATCCTGAAGCATGTTGTTGTCCAGAGATGAAGGGACTGTATCTCGGAATGCCGTCAACATTGTCTCTGGCCTTATCTGCTGTTGGCTTATCGTCGGTCGGGTTGTGTAATGCCAGCATCGGCATCGGGACTATCGAGGGGGCGTCGAGTTGAAGCTTCTGTCTTGCGAAATCTATGATATAAGACGGAAGCTTTGGGCCACACACGTTGAAGGCTGCCTGAAGAAGTTCGGATGAAAGATTTTCATTTTGAGGGGTAGGCTGCCGATTATCCTCGCGAATATCGGAACGGAGAAGGGTTTGCGCAGGAAGAACAGCGCTGGCCCATCTTAGTGTTGCATTTTCACAATTCTCGTTCCTTGTGGGATCAAAATCGGTGGGACTTATTCCCAAGTCTTGCAGCTCATTCGACTCGTTCAAGAGCAAATAAGTCGACAGTCGCGTGGCGAGGTAGCCTTCAGTATCCCCCTGGATTTCGAGCTGGAGGCGACAGAGATCTGACATGGACCTTCCCGGGTTTTGGGAAAAAAGGATCAGAATTTTCAAGGCCTCTGCTTTGAGGAAGTAGTCTCCAATGGCATCGGCGGTGGCTACCACAACTTCTGCGGTATGGCGTTGTGCTGGGCTAGATCGAGTGAAGAACATGTCCCATGAAGGTCTTTCCAGCCCGTTTTTCGGAACATAGATGGGCAAATGTATTCCGTTCTTTTGTTTGAGCTCGAGACCGTCAAAGTCCTTGAGGTGAATCCCGTCAGGTCGCTCTGGAGCAGCCGTCTTCTCGAGCACTGCTTTGACAAGTAACCATTGTAGAAAGGGTCTGCTTCGCATGAACCCCTCATCGTGGTCTTGAATGGAGCGTGCTAAGATCGTGGCATATTCGAGTAAAAGGTGGTTGCGAACGTCCATTTCCTTGTCGTGATCTTGAAGTATCAGTGAGGTAAAAAGGTCAAGGAGACCCAACGCCGATGGTTCGTCGTAGCTCGTCCGAATCCAGTCATTGGAAATTAACTCCATAATTTTGGGAAGGTAACTGGTCCCGAAAAACATGGCTGACATGTCCTGCCAGCCAAACACAGATGTGGCAGCCACCAAAAGATCTCTGGCATCCCAGATGCTATCTTCTGCGGTGATCTCGCGATAAAGGCGGCTCCAATCGAAAAGATGCTTTGCGTAAATCTTGGGCACGTCAATAATGCCTTCATGCGTACAGGCCTCCAAGCGGTGCAACACCCGCAGGCACAAACTCAGTAGTTGTATCTAGGAAATGGTCAACATACGATCCTCAAGGATGTGATGCAAGAGATTACATGTTTCTTACCTCTGTTGATCCTATGACTTGTTCGGTGCTGAGGGCTTTCAGCGTGTTTTCCACAATCTGCCACGCCATCTGTATGTAGTTTGGAAAGTGCCGCTGCGACAAGAGATCCAGCAGAGCATAGTTCGCTGCCAGCTTGCCTCTGTTCAGCTCATCCATACTCTCCTCTCCGACAGGAGGCAGAAATTCCGGCAGTAGCCGCATATCTCGGAATAGCTTCAAGTTTCCAGATGAAACCAGCATTTCTGCGTACTGAACCCGGATGTACGGGATGGTGCTGTAGCGTTCAAGGTTTTGCTTGAAGTATTCTTGCGCGTCTTTGAACCGGCCGAGCCGCCTGAGTCGGCAAAACTCCTCGAGATCAGTGTCCCAGTCTTCTTCGATATCAAACTCGAGCCGGACCGTCATATTTTTGGTTGATTGTGAGGGGTCATGAACGAGGTCAACAGGTCGCTCATAAACATCGTGATTTGATGGCTGGCTTTCCTGGTCCTCGTCGCTTATATCTGAATATTCCGAGCTCTGGCTAAATGTTCCCCCTATTGATGTTGAGCGGTCCTGTAAATAAGTAGGCACATACTCGTAAGGGGGCGGTCTGAAATCTGGAATCCGTTGGTTTCTGCGAGACTGTTCTCGTCGTGTTTGCGTCCGAAGTTGCAGAACAGGCGGTCTCGTACGAGATTCGACGTTGAAGGGGTCCTCATGTAAGTGACCTGTACGTGGTTCCCTGCCAGACTGGTGTGCCGTTGGTTCCTCTTGTGCTGGCCTTCGTCTTGCTCTAGATACTGGCCGAACCGTGACAAGGGACCGATTGCGTTGCTCGGGGCCCTCGTGACCCATCTGATCCCAGTAGTTCACCGGTCCAGTAGTTTGTTCCCTCGCCTCCGAGATATAAGTATTTGCCCTGCCTAGATTTTGTACCCAGGTTGGACGCGGAGGCGATGGGGTATTTGGAAAAGAAAGCGGTGAAGGAGACCGGCGCCGTTCCCATGAAGCAGAGCTCGACTGTTGCCGTTGACGTCCCGTTTCCCAATCCTGTCCCCCTTGATCTTGTGCTGAGCGCTTTGGTCGCCGCGGCCGCTCCGGCTGCTGCTGTTGACGAGGTGGCAGGCCATAGAACTTCCCATGTTTAGGGGCTCTTGGTGCTACGCTGCCGTTGCGAACCGTCGTAGAAGACGAGCCTTGTCTTTCATTCTCATCTTCATGATAATGCTCACTGTCGCCGATATCATCCAGGTCGACGCTATCGTCTGAGTAGGATGACCTCGACATGGCGCAAACAGAGTGGCCGAAAGGAGAAAGACGAAGAGGTAGACCGTGACGGCCAGTATCAGAGCCTTTCTATGCCTATTTCTGCTGGCTGCGTTCTTCCAAAGTCTTTGCGAAACTCTGTCTTGATGCCATGCGGGGGGTGGGCACTACATGGAGCGTCTCGCAGCCTTGCCGAGAGCCCATGAGACGCTGTTCCGCAGCATACCCTGAAGAAGTAAGCAGCGCCAATTCGAAACGAGAAGGCTGCATCTCTGGCGAATCGCAGGGGCTTGGCCAAGCTGGCTCGCATCAAGACGACCCGCCTGTGCAGCTCAAGTGAGGCATCCATGTTGCACAGCCTGCACCAGCACAAATCCCCCGCGGCCCAAATGTTTTGTTATCATCGTTAGCACCCCACTACATCTGTTCGAAAAGTCCGCAGCATCAGGCCTGAGTTGAGCTTTTGTGATTCCCACGTGTCTGGGACCCAGCCAACCAAGCTCCTGATGTCGACAATGGAAGACACATGGACCTCACCCGAGCTGAAGGTCAAAAAGCGTGGGAGATATGGACGGCGCGATTATGAACGATTCGACCATATAGCCTCATCCCACATGCGAGCAGGCCGTGGAAGCATTGGCAAAGTCGAGGTTGATTGCCGCTTCATGTTCACCAAATCCCGCTGGGGTGTACTTGGGGAGTCACAAAACCCAGCTGGCATATTGTACCTCGATCTAGACTTTCACCAACCCCCAGACTGCAAACTCGAATCAGCAACTGTATCTGTGAAATTGACCGAGGAAGATGGCGAAGACGCACGCATTGAGCATCGCTCCTCTTGCCCAGTCAAATTCACCGACCATTACGGCCCAAAACACATCCGCGGCCGAGAAACCTTGGTCCAAACGAGAAAGCTCGTCAATCGAACGCCAAATGTCAACGTGTTGGGATATGGTGCCGGTGGGCTGGGTATCGACAAAGAAAAGACCGTGACTGGGGGGAGTCGCTGGAACTTTGAGGGTCATATCTCCTCGACGAAGGGCTCGATCTGGTACAACACCTTGAAATGGGAGCTGAAGGAGAACACATTCGAGTATCAACCATCACACAACAACCTTATCCACACAGCCTTCGTGCTCGAGCACAATGCGACACGGTTCTATATGACGGTCGAGATTAGCGGAAAACTCTCCAAGTTCTCAGACGAGTTCATGAAGATGTTCAAGTTCCGTGACGGGGAAAAGGAAATAGTTACCAAGATTGAATGGGCAAACGGTTACTCATGCCCGCTCCGGCTGGATCGAATGGCTCGTGAGCTGCATCTGCAGATGGAGTACGAAAACATGGCGAGGATCCCGATGGAAATGCCCGATGCTTTGCCAGCACACTATCGGCCTGTGGCCACGTCTCCAATGCCGCCGGTATACCATCCGCAACAGCCCAGTGTCGAGACAATGCCACCAACGGGGAGGATAGAGGAAGTGTCGTCGGGAAACATCGACGGGAATGTCAGGATATCACAACCGGACCGCCCTCCTCCACTTCCCGCCAGCGATTCTCTAGACAGCTTGCGAATAGCATCGGGGCTCATTCCTCCGCCAGTAGCTCACGAGCAAGCCAGTCCAGAGGCAGATCAAGTCTCGGAAACTTTGGACTCCACCACTTGTGTAAACTCGTCCGAGGATGCCGATGAGGATGAACAGAGCGGCTGCGGGAACAGCTCGAGTACTGAGAGCACGGCTGCGGAAGAAACCAACGAGGTTAGACCACAAAAAGGTAGCCCAGTGGATATGGGTAACCCGGTCTCGATATGGCTGAGAGGCATCATGCTGGTGTGGTTGGCCATGCTGGCTCGCGCAATTGGTGCGTCAGTGGTGGAAGCAACGTCGAATCCGAAGGTAAAGATGATCGAAGGCGAAAAGATTGAAAGGAGGAAAGGGCCAAAAAGTGCATTACGTTCAACAACGCCTAAAAAGGCAACATCAACAGGAACTTGAAGGAGAGAGGGACTCGGAAGTCATGTATTCTCGACCCCACCCCCGAACTGTCACAGACCACGGTAACAAACGGAGGCTAGAGAGGATGATGGCAGAAAGATGGCGAGAAAAGAGGCGTGCTTTTTTGTTGATAGTAAATAGCTAGTGTATAATATGGGAGTCGAAGTGTCTGTACGATCGATGATTTGATGTTTAAAGCTGATTTTTCGTATTTTTGAATGTCTCAATGTTGAGCCTTTGGTTGATGTTTCAGAGATCAGTGCGCTCCGGCCAGGAAATACAGCACACTAACATAGTGCTACCTACCCCACACCCGAGTCTGTTAGCCAATCTCTCACCACACTGCAGGCATTCCATTGGAACTAACGACTAGCGAGAGGGCATCAACACTTCCATATCAGCGGACAGATGGGCAGCCAGCCTTCAGTTTAACGGCGAGACGCGAGTTCGATATTCGACAACAGCGACATAGTTCACAAGGAGGCCGGCAAAGAAAGCCTGGGATCTCGTCACGATTCCCGATACCACTCAAGCGTTGACATTCACATCGCTCGCTACACCTGTCCTCTCCGTCCCCAGTGTGATCTCATCAACCTTCCGCAAACAAAGGCCCAGGTCACCATCAACCAAGCGAAAGAAGCCCCATATATACAATGGCGGACCTTTTATATGATCTTCTTTTACCGTCAGGGACGACTCCCGATGCGAGTTTACTCGAGTACCTCACAACACTGGCGTCCCAGCCATTATCATCACTCGAATCAAGCGAACCTCAAGCGCTCGCACACTCATCTCACGCGCTCCTGCTCTCACTTCAATCGCTTTCCAAGAAATCTCACAAGCAGATCATCGAATCGGCAACTCATCACGCGTCACTCCGCACTACGTTGCCTGCCTTGGCAGCAAGCACCGCTGAGCTGCGAAATGCCCTCCCAAGGCTGGATAGTGAAGCAGTGCGGTTCGCAACCACCTACAACAGAGACAGCGACAATGATGTTCTCGCCCGGCGAAAAAAGGCATTGCTTCTCTCGCGCAACGTCGAGCGGCTCGTCGACGTCCTCGAGCTACCGCCCCTCCTCTCCTCGTCTATCTCGACAGCCCCAGTCAACTACTCCTCAGCACTGGACTTGAACGGTCATATCCGGCGACTGCACTCGCTCTACCCAAAGTCACCTCTTGTTACATCCATCTCCGCCGAGGCTGACGATGTCATGCGAAATATGGCGGCCAACCTCATCCTCTCTCTCAAAGCTCCTGGTCTCAAACTCCCTGCTGCCCTCCGAACCATCAGCTGGCTTCGCAGAGTCTTGCCGGATTTGGAGGCAGTTGCCACTGCACCAACAAACAACGGCTCAAAGAGTAGCGATGCTCGAGAGAGGGCGCTGGGGGCAGTGTTGCTTGTCTGCCGCCTGGCAACCCTCATGACAATGCTCGAAGCCCTCGAACCACTTAGGGAACTCGCCGATCAAGAAAAGGCCCGCCAAAAGGCCATTGGCAGCGGAAACGCCTGGTCTGGTGGGCAGCAGACGGAAAGATATCTGAAGCGGTACATTGAGATCTTCCGTGAGCAGAGTTTTGCTATCGTGAACATGTTCCTCAAGCTGTTTCCGACTACCACGGCGGTGGCAACAGATGGGCCAGCAGCGACAACTGGGAGCGATGACCCACTGGAGCCGATTCCATCTGCGCTTGCTACTTTCCCTCTCTACCTGGTCGACATGCTATTGGAGACCCTACGCGTGTATTTGCCTACCGTGAAAGACCAGGGAGCGAGGGACAGTCTGCTCACTCAGGTTCTGTATTGCGCAGGAAGTTTGGAAAGATTGGGAGGTGATTTTGGGTTGTTTTTGGCGAGCTTGGATGTTGGACCAGAGGCGGAGGAGGAGTGGGTTGAGGTTGTCAAGAGACACAAGGCGTTGGCTGGGAGGCTGGAGTCTATCGTGGGGGAGCAGAAGAAGGGGTGATTGGGAGACTGTGACAACTACAAGTTACAGAAGCGGGCGATATGACGGTTCATCAGATGATAATATCATTATAATTCCATTCTGATTATCACCTTTTTTTTTTTTCTTTTTTTTCAGCTCCCCCTTGGGCGTCACTCGGCATTGGTGGAACCCCCGGGGCCGAGTAGTTGCTCGGGTCAACCCGGCAACTCCGGGGCGGACCGGACGGCGGGGTAGTTCCCCACCTCGACTTGATCGGGGACCGAAAAAATTACAGGATTCCCATGCCGTCATAGGCCCTGTCTTCCAAAGCGGATTTACCGCAAAACCCCAACCTTTTCATCTGAACTGAACACCAGGTCAGCACCCTCAACGGCGCGTTCACTTTTTTCGAGGTTCTTCAACAGCATGGCGTCTCCTATATAAAATCATCTCACACTATGGCTGGTCCACAACCCAGACGCCTCTGCCACCATCTCTAAAGCATCGTGACAGCCGACGAAACGCCACAGCAGCGCGAACTCAGGCCACTACCTCCTGACACCGCAACCATCGCTGGGAAAAGAATCTCGGACCAGGAACACACCCAACCCGCGATCCGCGCAAATCACTTCCACCCAGCGCAACCATGTCCGATGGCGCCCGCAAGACGTCTCCGAAGTCGAGTACGGTTTTCTCCCCCTTCCCATCCTCGCTCAATCTAACCATCTTTCCCCCCCTCAGCCTTCCACTTCCTAGCCGGCCTCTCCTCCGGCATAACCTCCGCCGTCCTCCTCCAACCAATCGACCTCCTCAAAACCCGCGTCCAGCAACGAACCTCCCACTCCACCCCGCATCACCCCCACGGCGCCTCGGCCCTCCGCCTCGCCCTCGCCGAAATCCGCTCGGCTCCTCACCTCCTCCCAGCCCTATGGCGCGGTGCCGTTCCCTCGGCCTTGCGAACCGGCTTCGGCTCCGCAATCTACTTCACCTCCCTCAACTCGATCCGTCACCGTCTGTCCTCTCCAGCGTTAGCCAACGCGAATAACCACTCCTCCACCCTCCCGAAACTTTCCCACATCGCCAATTTGACATCGGGAGCAGTAGCCAGGAGTTTCGCGGGGTTTATTCTCATGCCTTTGACGGTGCTGAAGGTGAGATATGAGTCGACATTGTACAACTACAACTCCCTCCCCCGCGCAGCGCTAGACATCTACCGACACGAGGGCATCCGTGGGTTCTTCTCCGGCTTTGGCGCCACCGCTATCCGGGACGCTCCCTATGCTGGTCTCTACATATTATTCTACGAACAGTCCAAAAAGCACCTCTCCAACCTCTACATGGACAAATCCGGAAACGGAGGCGCAGCCACAATCAACTTTGCCAGCGCGATATTCTCCGGGGCGGTCTGCTCGGCGATCAGCAACCCGTTTGATGCGGTTAAGACGAGGATTCAGCTTCAGCCGGATGGCTACAGGAATATGGTGCATGCCGCCAAGAGGATGGTGAGCGAGGAAGGGCTGAGGAGCTTGATGGATGGGTTGGGGTTGAGGATGGGGAGGAAGGCGGCGAGTAGTGCGCTTGCTTGGACGGTGTATGAGGAGTTGATTAGACGGGCGGAGGGGAGCTGGACGAAGAAGGATGGGGTTAGGGGAGGGGAGAAGGAGGTGGGGAAGTTATAGGAGATACAGAGACGAGCTGTGTTTATGTGTCATGACATCTGTACACATATTTGGCCTCTACGCTCATGTCATGGACGGATGGGGGATGCATTGTATTATATCAACGGAAAATCGGGGGCATGTATGATGAATGCTGAAAGACAAAACCAAAGCAGTTCTGTGATATTCAACTTTTCTGTGTAGTCATGCCTTGGAGTTAGAAGGACTTGGTATTTATACGAGAATAAACAAAACTATCTCAACCCGCAAAGAACATGTCCAAAAAAGAAAAAAAAAAGAAGAAAAAAACAATCATCATATCTTCATCCCGTCATCATTCTCCCTCTTTTCCTACCCAATGTCGTATCCAATTCCTCCCCGACCAACAACCCTCCCAACCCTAACGTAATCGTCGAACAAAAAAAAAAGTTCCAAGGAGTGAGAAGAAAAGATGGGTATCCATCGCGACAGACAAGACCGAAAGAAGCCGAAAACAGTTCACGCGGGCCGGCCACCAGCCAAGTACATGAGCAAACTGGGGGACTTGGACCGACGGCGGCGGCGCACAAACTCGTACTTGTCGTCCTCCTCGCGGTGGTCCTTGATCTTGAGGACGACCTTCTCCTCCTTCCTCTTCTCGACGATGCGGATCTTTTTGGTGTGCTCCCAGAGCTGCTGCTGCTCCCACTCGGGCACCCAGCGCTTGATGAGGATGTAACCGGGCTCCTGTTGATGACATCATTATTAGCAATCAGGTCTTGGAAAAAGAGAAAAAAAAAAGACAGGTGAAAAACGTACCGCATCCCACTCCCACTCGATCCTGAAATGGGCCAACGTCTCAATGTCCAAGTGCCTCAGGGACATTCTGGTGTAGGTCGGCCTGGCAATCTGATTGTTGTTGTCCCTCTCGCGTTCCCTTTCGCGTTCCCTCTCATCCTCCCTGTCCCTCTTCTCCTTGTCTTTCTTGATCTTCTCCTTCTTCAGGATGGCCTCAATGGCCTTCTCGTCGAGGCCGGAGTGGATGAGTTGCTCCTGGAGGCGGCGTTGGAACTCCTTCTCTCTGGCCTCCTCCTCAGCCTTCTCCTTGGCGATCCGCTCGGCTTCCTTGGCCTTCCACCGAGCAACAGCCTCTTCCTCCTCCTTCTCCCTCTTTGCCTTTTCCTCAGCAGCCTTCTTCTCCTCGGCGAGCTTCTTGAGCTCGATCTCCCGGGCGATCCGCTCTTCCTCCGCCTTGCGAGCCTTCTCAGCCTTGATCTTATCGAGCTCTGCCTTGGCCGCGCGGAATTCGGCGTCTTCTTTATAGTGCCTATCACGCTCCTCCTGCTCCTTCTGCCTCTTGAGCCTGTCCAGCTCAGCCTTGCCCATCTTGTACTCCTGCTCCTCCTCCTTCTGCTTCTCCCTCCTGGCTTCCTCCTCCTTCTTCTTTATCCGGTCAAGCTCGGCCTTGGCGTCTCTCAGCTGGCGCTCCTCCTCCTCGTGCCTCTCCCGCTTCATCTCCTCCTCACGACGCTTGATGCGGCCAATCTCATGCCGGAGCCTATCAAGCTCGTACTCATCGGTGTACTTCTCTCTGATCTGCCTCTCCTCCTCCTCCTTGAGGAACTTCTCGAGCTCATACCTCTGCCTAGCAGCCTCCGCCTCATCCTTTTCTCTCAATTGCTGAAGCCTGAGCCGGGCCTCCATCTGCTCCCGAGTTTCCATCTCCTCCTTCTCCTTGCGGTAGTGCGCCAGCTCCCAGCTGGCTTTGTCCCGCGAGGACGCCTCCGCCATGCGCTCCTGCTGGCGCTTGGCCTCTTTCTCACGCCGGTACTGCTCGAGCTCCCAGTCGGACTTGTTGCGGTTGGCCTTCTCCTCGGCCATCTCCTGCGCCCGCCTCGCCTCCTTTTCGCGGCGGAGCTGCTCCAGCTCCCAGTCGGACTTGTTCCGGTTGGCCTTCTCCTCGGCCATCTCCTCCCGCCGGCGGGCTTCGTCCTCGCGGCGGAGGCGCTCCAGCTCCCGGTCGGCCTGGGCCCGGCCAAACTTCTCGTCGGTGTAGCGCTCGAGCTGGCGCTCCTGCTCCCTGCGCTCGTTGCTGACCTGCATGGCGCGGAGCTGCTCCCGGGCCCGCTCGAGCTCCCACCTTTCGCGGGCGTCTTCGAGGTGGGAGTGAGTGGACGAGGAACGGGAGTGGCCCACGCGGGAGTGGGAGCGGTGCCGCGAGTGGGAGTGGTGGTGAAAGCGGGAGGAGACATGGCTGGACTCGTCCGAGGAGGAGCTGGAGCCGCGGCGGGACCGACCTTGGCCTTGGTTGATCCTGTTCTGGTTGATCACCACGGCCGGAGGGGGAGGGGGCTGGGGAGGGCCGGCGACGATGGGAGGGGAGCGGCGCTCTCTTGAGCGGGCGCGGACCATGGTCATTTCTCGCTGGTCGGTTGAGTTGAGGAATGAAGGGCCCTGGAAGTAACCCGTGGGACCCGAAGGGCGGGTGTCCCGGGCATCGCGGACTACAGTCTGGATGAAATGAGGCGGGCCACCAGGAGGAGGAGGAGGGGGGCCAGAAGGCCCTCTAGACCGGTCGCGGGCAGCAGCATAGCGCCTGTAGGTGATGTCGACGGACTCGTCGTCACTCGACAAGTAAGAAGACCGGGGCATGGTGGCGGTGGTAGTAGGTCTTTGTCGCTAAGGAAGCCGCGGTGAGTCAAGGGTGAAAAGAGGAGAGGACAGGCCAGAATGGGCCGTTCTTACGTATTGTTCCCAGTCCCAAGAGAGAGGGTATACTAAGCTCAAGCGTTGGGAGTGATATCCCCGAACCAAACACTTGGGCGATATGTCTACTCAAGACTGGAAAGATGGAAAACACCCTTCGGAAAGAAAATCGAAAAGCGAAGAAGGTGAGGAAAGACGGCCGGCGTGGCACGACGGAGGGGTCAGGAGGAATTGTAAGCCGCCAACAGAAGCGGGGTGTGACCCACCATTTATTATTCGGCGGCGGTCAAGAGAGGGAGCGGAGATGCATCAGGAGCAAATCAGCGTGGAGGGCGGTAGGGGGAGGGACATTCGGGGCCTGGGGACTGTCAGGGATGTGAGAGGGTTAGTGTCAAGTACCTCTCTATGCATATGACTGTACCACTGGTCCGCACCAAGTACCTCTCCGTCTGCGTCTGTCAGCATCTCAGCTCCCTCCCGGCTGCCGTCCTCTGCCCTCTGTTCATCTTGCCTTTGGACCATGGGGCTGCCAGGTTGTACACTCCCAACTGTGCAGTGCGGCATAAGAAGCCATGCCTTACCCGTTGCTAGATAAACTCCAGCTAGGTACTCGGGACCAACGCGTGATAGGACTGGCCCAAGGTGTGCCACACTTGTGGCCCTCGGGACGAGCTAGGTATCGTGTGCTCCTAGTGGAGGGGGGGATAAGAACTGTCTTTTCCAAGGTGCGGCCGCCGTGTGGTTGGCCCATGAGCGACTTGCTCATCTTGGTGGGGGAGAACTGTCCTACCACCTCACTTGCTCTAGAAAACCAGAGATGGACGGCATCAGGGCGGGAGACGGAGCCTGGTAGCATCTCATTTTCCTTGAGTACCTGTCTTGGGGGCTGAGAGGGGGGAACTGTGAGACTGCTTGGTTAGGTTCCATGTCCCCCGTTGCGTGCGTGTGCTCCGACAGAGCAAAGGAGGCTGGTTAGGTGAATGTAGCGCAGAGATGGGCCCCGCTCTTCCACCCTGAACGAAACCTCTTCATGTGAGTGGGTGGAGGGGCACCAACGGCAGCTGGGAGGGGCACAAGTGGCATGGAAGCGAAACGAACGGGAAGCGGGATGTTGAGCCTCGTGGCTCTGTGTTGCGGGACTGACGAGACAGCAGAAAATAGAGAAGCCCATCAGACAGACGCCTGGGACGGTTTATTCCCATTCTGTAGAAACCCGAACATTGTCTCTGAATAGTTTCTAGACCATGGCCATGGCGATATGTTCTTTCAAAGGCTCGGAAGCTGGCATCATCAAGAGGCAGCAAGCCGCGAAACAAACGGTGCGTAGGGCTTAGGGAGGGGCATCGGTGCGGCTTGGCAGAAGATCTTGGCAGGCAAGGGTCGAAACGGCTGCCCCGTGGTTGGTCTGGACGGCTACTAGCCATCTTTAGAACCGCCGGGCGTGCGTCGGGTCGTGATGCCGTGCCTGTTGACTTGGTTTCCTGTGGTTGTGAGTGCCTCTTGGCTATTTCCATCTGGTGGCTTGACAATACTACTGCATAGCTTCACTTTGTATGCAGAAAACAGGCGCCTGAAACCCGTCGTGTCTTTCCCCAGCGGCATGCGAGACAGCCCTCTTGTTCTGTACCTCCTGCACCTCCGTGGAGCCGATGTGCTGGACCCTCGCCGCCCAGGCACCTGAATTGTTGTTGTGTTGGAGAATCCTTGGCCGCCGGGCATGCAGCAGGCCAGTTGCCTTTTTGGCAACTGAGGACATGAGATACAGCAGGTCCAGCACAGGACTTGAGAAGAGGCTTTGTGTGTATGGGAAATAGGATAAAAACAGGAATTCCATCTTGCCAAACCATCCGGCATGGTGCCATCGGGTATATTGTTGTGAGAGTGAGGGGTTGATAAGACAGCTGGGTTCCATGCTGCACTGCGCCGCAGACGACACCACATTTTCCATTGAGCGTTCCCAGTTTCGCAATTACGGGACAATCGGCACCGAAGAGACGCGAGTCAAATGGTTTGTGAATCCCTAAAAGTCGATCAAGGCTCGAGGCAAAGGCCGTATGAGATTAAGCCTGTCCCTTGAGCATCTTCTCAATGTGCTCCCGGCTATTCTTGTCCGTCGTCTCGAGGTAGTGCAGCCTCTTGGACAGAGCCTCCAACTCGGTCTCATTCTCCTTGACCTGAGAGCTCAGTTTCTCCTGCAACGTGGGCACCGGAAGCCCAACGAACCTGATAGTGGAGCAAAGGAGGTTGGTTAGCCAGGGGGTTCAAGCAACGAGCACGAGACAGGAAAGCCATACATTTTCCCGACTCCCTCGTAGACAGCCGTGTCGGGTGGCAATGATGAGATCTCGCTGCGCGTCAGCTGGGCTAGCCGCATCTCACGCTGCTTGGACGCCATCTGAGTGCGGACCAGGCCGATTTGCTGTTGCGCAGCGATGGCCTGCGACTCAATCTCTCTGACGAGCTGCGAAAGGCCCAAGGTTAGTTTGATGTAATTTCCTGCCGCCATGTTAAACTCATAATTAGGCGTTGATGCCCAACTGGCGGAATTTGTAACACTCATCTTGTCTGTGAGAGGTGACTTGCCTTTTGCAGCGCTTCGTTTGATATCGACATCTTGGGTGGTTGTGATGAGGCTGACTGGGCTGCCAAACAAGATTAGGATAAGAAAGCAAGGCGATGCTTATTGTTCAGGCAGTGAAATGTCGTGAAAGTGCCGCGGCCGAGCGAGTTGCGGTAACAAATGGAAATGCAGTCGATGTCAAAGCAACTTTGCTGGGGCTCAGTGTCGTTGCTGGTCTCTTCCACTGGCCGTTGGAAATGGAAATTTAGGTTGCGGTGCTGGGCTCGTAGGCAGAACGGTGTACCCGTAACGTAATTGTTGTGTAATTCAACACCGTGCCAATACCAGCTACGCGCACATGACAGACGCCGTTGGCACAACTAGAGAATTGCTACTCGGGTGAAGGGCCTCAGCAGGACAGTAGATAACCGTTAGGTATATATTATAGAGCTTTAAATTATAGTGGAAAGCTCTGGAATAAAAATCCAGAGTGTTTGCGTTATCCTTCAAGCCCTTGATTTTACGTTTTCAACCTAATTATTTTGTCCGCGAGTCGAACATCTATCATGTGGAACCGTGATCACTAACGCCCATCGTAACTATATAGCAGTTCTAGCCCGCTACCATGTTCCATAAATGAGGCTCTGCCTGTATTCCGGTGTTTTTTAATTTATCTCTTAGCTCAACCTTTGACCCCGCCCTGCCGAAGTCGTGCTTGTCATCCGAGGATCTTGTTTTTGACTCCTTTTCGCGTAGTCGACTTGGTGTATCGTTGCTATGCTGTTGCCTTGCCACAAACAGGGTATGGGGTGTGGGGCACATAGGCAATATACAAGGCCCTCGTCACCATCAAGAATCATCCCGGATGGTGATCTTCACCGAAGGTAGGACAGAGCCGCCTCACTGGGTCTTGAGATGAGCTGCACCCTTGGTACGCGGGACCACTTGCGGGATTGTGCGTAACGGCTTCCAGTCCAGCATAAATTCGTCCTCTTTCCCCTCCAGGCAACAGTTGGACCACAATCTCCAGAGAATCATATGGTATGCTGTGGAACAGAGTCAGCCTTGGGCACAAAAAAAAAAGGATGGAAATGGTTAGGTTTTGAAGAGATATTACGCACCACCTACACACAGCGTTAGTATCGACATATTTATCCTATCATGGAAGCATGAGGGGCGCAGGAGGAACATACCAAGACCGGTTAGGATGTGCCACCATCCATGCCCTTCAAAGATGATGGCCCACGGTAGAAGAACCTTTTGCTTCGTTTGCGTGATGTGGTGACAAAAGACGTTATCAATGTTCCAGATGAGGAAACCAGCCAGAAACATGAAAATGCCTTGCCATTTAAAATCAGCCTCCTGCTGTATAACCATAGGTATTGTGTAAGTAGGACATACCTGTCAGAGCCAGTGTCCACATTTCCTTCATGTGCTGGTCACACGTGGCAGGGTTCCTTTTCTTGAACGCTGGTCGCAACACACTGTCTCACAGTTAGTGTGCCAAATTCAAATACGCACTAGTCAATTACCCTCTGTTTGACATACCCTTCCAGGACGTGGAATCCGCGGAAAATTGTTGACGCCGTCAATAAACCATAAGCCACCTGATGGAAGACTGGGTCCTTTGCGTAAAGATAATAAACCGTGATAAAAGTGGCAAGTCCCAGCAGGAATACCGCAAGAAGACCCTTCACAGCAGGAGACTTGTTGGTTCCAAAAGCTACGTATGCCATGATGCAGATGGTGTATATCATGGGGAGTTCGTCTGCGAGTTGCATCTCATCTGCATTCCACGTTAGAACAGGACAAGTACGTACACTATCACTCAAGGAGAACTTACACTTCAGCGTAGTATGGAACGCCATGCTACCGAGACCCACGACAATGTAGCCGAGAAACACGAGGATGAACACCTTGGAGTGCGCATACTTGATGACATTGCGTAGTCCTTTGAAGCCAAGGTACATAAAAACCAAGTTTGTAAGTGTGTTGACCACTTCAGCACAGTAGTAGCTGATGTTGTAGTCCTAGACGTTCTGATCAGCCAAGGCTTTCCGACTAGTTGGTGCGCAAAAGGGGGTTTGTTTACCTCTTCACACCAGTTCAACGTCGACGTTTGCTCCCCCCAAAACCCAGTTCGCGCCTCCCGGTAGGGAATCCGAAATGCCGAAGCCAATGCCATTGTGTACGACACTCAAGCGACACCGCGTCTCATAACAATGGTGCGAAATAAGCAAGGCAACAAAGTGGTCAGAGATCTGGTGTTTGAGCTTCGAGCACAATGCGCACGCCAAGAGACGGGTTGCGCTGGTTATCCGTCTCGGTTCCGCTGTGCTGGGCCTCTTCTTGCTGTTCTCGGGGCCAATATGTAACGCACGTAAATATCGAGTGTGTTTTGAAGGTGTGTTGGTGCAACAACAACCAGCGCAGGATCAAAACCAGTATTTTACGAGGTCCCGGCCTAGGTGAGGTTCTTGTGCGTGCCGTCAGCCGATAAATATCGGCTCAACCGGAAAACGAGGGTGGAGGGTTAGAAGGGAGGATGCCGGAAGCGGCTGGTTCGGAATCAAACACTGGACAGCAACTTAGAAGGCAGGGCCTGAAATTTATAACTTGGGGGCATGCCAACGTATTATTCTCCACTGTGAACTTTTGTGTTGGTGTTTCCCAACCTGCTTTTCGAACGCAGTAGCAAGAATCATGGAACTTTGGAAGCAACGATAACGATAAGCCTCGTCTCGACCTTGAATTATGAATGTTCAGAGATGTAGTACTGCGATACTGGTGGATCCTGGCAGATGATGTAATGATGCACGTTCTCGGCAACTTTTACATCTCTAACCACCGTATATCAAGGTGCCATGAGGGTTAATGGAAGCTTCAGTCATATAGAAGCTGCCGTCAAAGTTTATCTCCGGTGGTATAACATGCTATAAAACAAAATACTTGGATGGAGTCTTTGAAATTCGAATTCTCAAACAACAAACGCTGTTGGTCATGCTGATTTGGATGGCCTGTGCGTTGACTTTGAAGCAGGTCGGCTCCACCTGAAGGGCTGAACCGAGAGCTGTAGCGGATCCAATTGGCTCTCTGGAGTCAAGGACCCACCTCGCTGACAGTTGCCGAGCAATTACGAATCCCTGGAAGGCTTGGACACTCTGTAAGTTTGGCGTGGCCTTTCGCCAAGGACCAAGCACTTGTGTTGAGGAAGAATACGAGACCAACCCTTCCGCAACAGTAATTCGTCTTACTGTGTCGACATGCGTCACGACCGGATTCTGGCTTCTCGGTGTACCTGGATGTAAAGCGACAAGCTGCAAGTGAAGCAGGCATCGGAAGATTGCGAGCCTGTCGTACCTATCTACCTATCTACCCTCCTCCCACGACGACTTGTGATGGATCGAATGTAACGGCGACCACCGCACTTATACCGTTGTCCCCCGCCTTTGTATGGCAACGTCATAGCGAGCACTGCCGTGCTGTTGTTATTTTGAACAATGGCCGCGCGATGGGGGTCGTTTCTGACCCAAGCCGTAGCTGGTGTGGAAGCTCGCCTGGATAATATACTCAGCGAGGACAATGATGGCTCGGCGCAAACGAAGGAGGCCAAGCCCGCCCCTCCTGCTTCGCCAGTGAAGCAATCGCCAGGTATGCTTGATGATCGAAGCTCTTCCCAGAAGGCTGTAGGTTTCTGACAGTATGGATTCCTTGCAGGGCCCTCCAGGACCTCCTCGAGCACCCGCGCAAACGATCGGCTCCAAGAAAGGCTTGCGCGGGCCATAGCTGCGAAAACGGCCGGTCAGAAGCCCCTTTCTGCGCAAGGAAGCCCGCGCCAAAGTCTAGACGCAGCGAGCCGCACATCGATCGATAGTATAGGTCCGGCGAGTCCAGCATTGAAGGATGCGCCAAGGGATACTTCTTCGCCGCGGGGCTCCCTGGATGTTGTCAGAACGTCCCAAGATAATGCCGTGAAGGAAGTTGATACCAATCAAGACTTGAAGAATGGGACAACAACGGAACAGGGGGTCACAGATGATGCGAACGGCGCGAAGGTATCCCCCGATGCACCACCGCCAGCCGAAGTGCCTCTCCTGAACACGCCAACCGTGGAAGCGCCCACCCCTACTCCTGCCCCTGAAACAGAGGAGATCATTACCAACAAGCCCGACCAAACAACAGTTGGAGACGAGGAAACGCAGAAGGATGGCAATAATGTGCCGGACGTGGCTCAGACCCAGCAGCAGGAGGAGATTCATGGCTACATAGAGCGCATCGATGCTCTTGAAGCCAAACTGCAGTTTCTCGCGAGAGAGGCCACAGACTCAGCCAGGAAGGCCGCCCTTGCTGCACCGGCTGGGAGTCTCGAGAAGAAGTTGGCGGAAAAGGACCAGCAGATCGCCCAGCTCATGGAGGAGGGCAAGAAGCTCGCCAGTACTGAGCAAAAGCACCGTACGATCATGAAGAAGTTGCAGCTCAAAGTTGGCGAGGGTGAGAAGGAGATTAACAACCTGAAGATGGCAAAGGACAAATCTGACAAGGAGTTGGATAATTCGCGTCTGCGCGCTCGCCGAGCAGATGAGCTGGAAAGATCACAGGTGGTTCTACAAAAGCAGTATGATCAAGCTCAGAAGGAACTCGGCAGCTTGCGACCAGAGATACGGTCGAAGGATGCTACCATCGCGGACCTCAGAAGTCAACTGCAAAAAGCCAAAGAACAAGTAGACGAGCTATCGACTAAGGCAAACGAACGCCCGAGAGAACAGGATAAGCGACGTATCGATGATCTGGAAGAGCAGGTGGCCGCTCTCAAGGTCGAAAAGACTCTGGTGGCAGATCGTGCCAAAGCGCAAGCAAACGACCTTCGAGAGCAGGTGGAAAGGGCGAACGAGCGAGCCCGTGTGCAAGAGTTGGAGCTAAAGGCTGAGGTCCAGATGATGGAAGGGAAGCTCGAGGCCATGAGGATGCGAGCAGAGGAGGCATCTTCGGGTGTGGCTGGAGACTCGCAAGCCAAACTACTGCGGCAGATCGAACAGCTGCAGACACAGTACTCCATCGCGAGTGAAAACTGGCAGGGAATTGAGACCAATTTGCTGGCTCGTATTGCTGGGCTGGAAAAGGAAAGAGACGAGGCTCTTCAAAGAGAATCGGACATGAGGCGGAAAGCTCGCGAGGCGGTAAGTCTCGAATGCTGTGCGATGAGTCCCCGACAACTACTGACAATGCAGCAGGCCGTCCGCGCAAAGCGCCACGAAGAGGAACTGGAAGAGACCAAGACCAAAATCCCCACGATCCAACAAGATGTCCAATCCTACCAAGCCCAACTGGACGCCCTCACCAGACGTGCTGAAGCGGCTGAAACGGCCCTCTCAGAAGCCAAGTCTGAGCTCGAAAAGCAAAAGCAAGCCTTCGAAGCCGAAAAGGAAAGACTCCAAACCAGCTTTCACCAACCCATCGTCGAGCGCCCCCGCTCCTGGCTCGAGGATCTCCCTGGCACCCCCTTGTTCAAACCAGACAGCCGCCCTGCCTCGCCTCAGCTCTCCGCCGTCCCTCAGCGAACATTTAGCACCGACTTCTTGGGCATCCAAACCCTTACCAGCAAGGCGAGGAAGATTTCTGGCGCGCAGTCCAGCAACAGCGAGGCGGGGGATGCCAACTCCCGAATCGGGCTGCCCGTCCCCGGAATGGGTTCTTTTAGTCGAAGACCCTCGGCCCAACCGCCTGCCCGCCCTACTCTGCCCTCGCACCCGACGAGCAACAGTGGGATCTTCAGTCCCACGTCTATTTTCAGTCCTACGAGTGAGGCTGCCCCGCCTTCGATATTGAATAACCACCGGGAGATCCAGCAAGGGGAAGACGCCTTCAGTGGGAGTGGCGGGAGGGATAACGATAAGAACAACATCATGCAGGATATGGTCTCCGTCTCCACTGTTGCTGCCGGGCCGTCGGTTCAGTTGGTGGAGAGGATGAGCGCCGCGATTAGGAGGCTGGAGTCGGAGAAGGTGGCGGCGAAGGAGGAGTTGTCGAGGATTTCGAAGCAGAGGGATGAGGCGAGGGCGGAGATTGTGGCTATGATGAAGAAGGTGGAGGAAAACAGTGCTGCGGTGAAGAGGGTGGGGGTGTTGGAGGGGGAGGTGAGGGAGGTGAAGGAGCGGTATGAGACCACGCTGGAGCTGCTGGGGGAGAAGAGCGAGGAGGTGGAGGAGTTGAGAGCTGATGTGGAGGATGTTAAGGCTATGTATAGGGAGCTGGTGGAGAGGACTATTAAGTAGTTGTGCGGTAGGAGGAAGGGGGGGGGGGGGGGACGGAACGACAATTTATAAATTTTGCATGGGCATTGCGGTTGTAATTTCGTAGAGGATATCAAACATTGTTTAATCACATCTGGTAGTGTGCGCGGTTGAATATGTACCTCACTGATTCTTCAATTTTCGAGCCCCTATACTCTTTTGTTCCGCGCCGCTATGCAGTTCACACATGTTCATTACAAGTACGATAACCCCGTAACCTCATCCCTCAACTTAAAACTTCCTACTAGCAGCCAAGGTCGGCTTCCACTCCAACGGGTGTGTCTCTGGCGTGGCATCGGGATCCTCTTTCCAGATTTTGACTATCGCAACGTTTAGCACATAAACCCCCTCTCATCCATTTTGTCAGAAGAAAAAAACTTACTAGTCTTATCAGCCTCACCACAGATCAACCTCGACCCCGAATGGTCAAAAATGGAGCTCATCACCCCCGACTCAGCATCCAAACTGCCCGGCTGAGCCGTCGTGTCCAACGCCTGGAACCTATGCCCGCTCTTCCAGTCCCAAAAGCTCATCGACCCGTTGTCTCCACCCGAAAACAACACGTTCTGGTCGTTGACCGACAGGGTGTTGATAATGGCGTTGTGGCCGTCAAAGTTCTGCATGAAGGCTCCCTCGGGGCACTTCCACTGCTTGATGCTCCCTGTGCTGCCTGTTGCGAAGGTGAACTCGGTTGGGTGGGTGGTCAAGGCGCGGACGCCCTTTTTGTGGTGGGTCAGCACGCCCATTGTCTTGCCCGCGGCGAGATCCCACATTCGGACGGTGGAGTCCAAGCTGCCGGTTATGACTTGGGGGTCGGCTTCTTGACAGACAAGGTCGGCGACGGTGCCGGTGTGGCCCGACAGGACATGGACATTGCTTCGGGTGCGCATGTCCCATACACGAGCTACGCCGTCGCGGCCACCGGTGACGAGGACGTCGAGGGTTGGGTGGAGCTTGAGGGTGTATACACCTGACAAATGGCCGTGGTAGTGACGGATGACCTTGTTTGTTTCCAGATCCCAGCACTTGACCATCTTGTCTTCACCGCAGGAGAACATGTAGGGGTGTCGTGGTGATACCGCCAGGCCGCGGACCGTCGAGATGTGACCGGTGAGGGTGAGCTTGAGTTGGCCAGAGGCCAGGTCCCAGATTTTGATGGTGCGGTCGCCGGCGCCCGAGGCGAACCACTTGTTGTTTGGCTCGACGGCGAGAGCTCGCACCCAGCCGAGATGGCCGCTGATGACGCGCTGGAGCTTCCAAGGTGGGTGCCAGTCTGGTCGGGGCTGTGCGAGGAGGTTGTCTTGTCGGCGGGTGAGGCTCATATTTTGGGGGTCGTTGCGGTTCGCGCTCGGTTTTGCGCCAGCACCAGCAGCGCCAGCGCCGCCTGGTCTTCTGGAGAGGACAAGAGTGTTGGAACCAGGCCCGGTCTTGTTTGCCGGTATCCCTTCTATCAATTTGCGCGCGTGCTCCTCCGACTTTGATGGTGCTTCTTCGGCTGCTTTTGGCTTCTTCTTGCGAGGACCGGCAGCCGGGAGCTTCTTCGCGATGACTTCGGGTAGGGTCTGAACGTCTTCATATTCGGCGTGAAGGCGGAGGGAGAGGGATGTTTTTGAGATGTCGGGATCTTCTGATGCCAGTCCGGGATCAAGCTTTAGTCGTTTCCTTCCCGAATCTGTGGATGTGTTGGCGTAGATGGATTTCGATCTGCGGGCGTTGGCCAGGATTAAGGACTCGAGATGGGATACTTCCGTCTCGAGGCCAGCGCCGTTGGCAACCTCAGCTGCCATGGTGAAGAATTAAAGCTGTGTAAGCGTGTCACTCGATATAGTCGTGGATGGAATTTTGGGCCGTCAGTTTCGGTGTCTGGTGGTGGATTTGTCGCAGTCAAGCAGTTCTCCGTCGCGTCGATGATGATAATGATGAACGATAGCGATGGCTCCGCCTGTCCAATGCGCGGTTGACATTGGGATCCCCAAAATTTCCAGGCGTGTGGCTGAAGCTCGGGCCAGCCTAGAGCTACAGGGGTAGTTGAAGGGGCCCCACACAGTGCCTTCTTCTTGACACTGCTATGGCGGGGTGGTCTGATGTGGAAGGCATCACTTATATGACGCCGCCTTCAGCAGCAATCAACTAAATACAATTACATTCTTTAACTTCAACTAGATACCTGGAGATACCAACAAATCAGAGACAAAATGGAAAATCAAGACAAGTTCGCCATCCACGCAGCCGCTCGTGACGGGAAAGGCAAGTGAAGCTAGCCAACGGTGTGTGTTCAACCGGTGACTTTGACTCTGACTCCCAGAATAGCGACCGTTGTAGAGTCTTTGCTGAATGTAAGTAGCTGTCCGCCATGTGATGATGATATGGTCGGTCTAACCACACCAACAGGCCAATCCCAAGCTCGCCAAGCTGAAAGACGACGATGGCCGTCTTCCCATCCACTGGGCGGCTTCGTACAACCACCACGAGATTGTCAACCTCCTGGTTCAACAGAAAGGGTTTGATGTCGACGTCAAAGTATATAAGATATTCCCAGCATACCTGCTACTTGGAACAGCTCAATTTTGACCTCACTTGTAGGATGACATGGGCTGGACCCCTCTCATGATCGCAGCCAGCGTCAAGGACTCGGACAGAGTGGTCGATCTCCTCCTTGCCAGAGATGCCGACGTGAATGAGACAAGTACGTCCATGTTTCCCTACCACGTCTTGATTGGCCCTTTAACACACTACCGGATTTCTCCTTTACCACATTACCCCTTTACCACATATTAGCACACACATTTACACTTTACCACATGGCACATGCCCCCTTCCCGTCCTCATGCTACTCATTTATTAACAAAAATCCAGATGACAACGGCCAAGTACATCCCCTCCCCCCTTCTCCCCTGCCCCTTCCACCACCTAACTCCTCTCTAGACAGTCCTCCACTTCATAGCCTCCAAGTCCAACCTCGACCTCGCCCGCAAGCTCCTCGAAGAGCACAAACCTCCCGCTTCCGTCCGCGTCCGCGACAAGCGAGGCCAGTACCCCCTCCATCGCGCCGCCGCCGTCGGTTCGGTCCCCTTGATCAACCTGTTTCTCAAGCACAAAAGTCCCCTGAACGCCAGCGATTCAGCTGGACAAACGGCGTTGCATCATGCTATTGCCGAGGGGCATGGTATGTTATCTATTCTTCTCCAGCGAGAACGGTTCAAGGCTGATGATGATAATAGGTGACGCGGCTGTGGTGTTGATGAAAGCTGGGGCTGAGATGGACAGGAAGGATAATGATGGGCTTCTGCCTTTGGAGGTGGCGCCTGGGATTGATGTAAGTCTTGTGGTGGTGCGGGGGTTGATGTGGTATGTGTAGCTGACGGACGGGGGAACAGGTCAAGAAGTATATTCAACGAAAGGCGGAGGAGGAGGGGATTGATCTTCCATAGGTTATGTCACAGTACCTAGACAAAACTGTATCAAGGGTGGAAACATAGATATCAAAACACCGTCTGTGGTCTATAAAGTTTCTGTCCATATGCAAAATGGGTATCTTTTTCTTCGTTAAAGCATCACACCCACCCCTTTAATCTCAGGATCATCCCTAAACGCCAACCTAACCTCTTCATCCCCCACCGCCAGCCTCATTTTGCTCGGCCTCTCCGGCCTCTGCCCTTCCAGATTGATAATCCCGGCCCCGGTAAGATCAACAGCAGCAGAACCCAACCCAGCCGGTCTGATCAACTGCCCCGTCTGCTTCGCCTTTGTAATCATCAACCCTGTTCCATCGTCTGCCCCTTCCCCCTTCTGCCCTGTAGCCCTTTTCTCCAATAACTTCAACGGCCGAGACTCATTGACCGTCAGCTTGAGCATCCGCTGCATCTCCTCGAGCACATCCCCAAACGTACTCTCCGCCAACCCCGTCCTCTGAATCCGTAAGCACAGCGCCGTCAACAAAAGTTTCGAGGCAAAGGGCAAAGAGCGGAGGTATTGCTGCAGCGGGTTGGAAGTGGCCTCGTTGATAGCTCTTCGCACAGTCTCGATCGTTACCCTCCCAGCAGAACTCTTCTTCTTTTTCTGGGGCGATTCGTCCTTCTTCCTCGCGGGGGTTTTCGTCGGCGTATTTGGCGTGGCATCGTCGGAAAGGTCATTAACTTTCGCGTCTGCTTCCGCCAGTTCGACCGCTCGTCGACAGATATCCAGAGCCCGGCGGGCGTCACCGCTGACGGCAGCTACCTTCCTCGCCGCGAATTGGATTGCATCCGGGTCCACGATGTCACCTGGGACACCTTCCAGGCGAGACTGGACGATACGCATGAGCTGTTCGTGGTTGTACCCCGGGAACGTGATACGCGTCAAACCAAGACGGGAGCTGATTTTGTTGGAGAGGGTTCGTTCGGGCAAGTCCATCGTGTTGGCTACCGCCAGGACGATGAGCCTGGAGTGGCGGAGGCCGGGCCAGTTGAAAAAGTTGTACATGACGCCCTGGTTTTTGGTCACCAGCTGGTCGAGTTCGTCCATCAACACCACGCAGGGCACACGACGGGGGGAGGGGTGGCTGAATTCTCGCTCCAGAAGGTCGAGGGCTTGGGCCGGGGAAACGCGCTGGCCTTTGAGGGCTTCCCACAGCAAGGCGTAAGATTGATGGGGGTCGGTGATTTTCATGCCGTTGATCTCGACAAAGATAAAGTCATCGAGCTCGTCGGCGCGAACGGCGGCATCGAGGTGGGAAACTACCTCGCGCACGGTGGCGGTTTTGCCTGTACCCGGAGTACCAGAGATGTAGATGCAGGTTCCAGAGCCGTCGGTGATGGCAGCTTCGAGGTGCGAATAGACGAGACTGAACTCGGATTCGCGACATGGTAGACTGGTGGGAACTGAAGCGACGTGGAGCTGGGTGCGGGCTACCTGATATGGGGAGGCGTGAACGTGCATAGGAGAGAGGACTCGGGTGGCTAGGGGTGTGAATTCAAGGTGCTTTTTGACGACGATGCGGCGGTGGGAGGAGGGGGTTGCCGGTTTGTTGCCTGTCTTTTTGTGCCGGCTGCTGGGGGTGACGGCGTCCCTGGTACGAGCCTTCTTTGGGGTGCGGTAGACGCCAGGGGCATATTCTCCATCTGCTTCTGGGTCGGCCTCAAACTTGTAGTCTCGCTCGGGGGATTCGTCTTTCGCGGGCTTCTTTTTCCGAGTTGCCTTGGTCTCCTTCTGAAGCCGCTCCTGGAGAGCCTCGAGGTCTTCCCTGCCGTGGTAGATATCCTCCCAGATGAACTCCTCGGTGTAGGTGCATGTTCTGGTGTTGCAGCCCCTTCGGCAAACAAATACTTTTCCATACTCCTTGGATTTGCGTGGCACTTTGCCTGTTGGGAATTTGTTCACGAAGGCTTGCTGCGACATAACATGGGCCTTGCCATTGATGGTCGACAAGGCGTTGACATCGAACGAGGTGGTGATGTAGAGCTCGTTCTATAGAGGCAGAAAAAGTTAGCAACTCGAGATCAAGGCAAAGACAAAGCGCAATCACACACACCTCCACATAATCCGTCCTCTTCTTTGCGCTGCGAATCTCGTTTGGCGACGAGAACCACATGAAGTTGGCGGCCATCTCGCCCTCCTCGTCCTCCTGGAACTCGCATATTATGCCAACCCAGGCTTCGTTGGAGCTATCGGCCTTCAGCAGCGTCGTGTCTCCCAAATAGCACTCGAAATTGCCATTACGAGCGCCAATAATCTGGCCATCTTGCCACGTAGCTCGTTTTCGTTTCCTCCCATTGTTTTCCTCAGTGTCTGGCTCGTTGGCATAAATCCATTCCCACGGAAGGTCTTCTGTTCCCAGCTCGTCGTCAGAATCCTCTCTTAGAACGCCTGGGATATGGCGCTTTCTCGAGCGCCCATCGACGACGCCAGGCATTGTTGAAGATTTCTCGGAATCGGTTGATGGGAAGGTAAACAATGCGAGCAGATGCGAAAGGCTGCAGCGGTTATCTGTGAATTGGCTTTGTTGACCGATACACTGGTCTATACGAGTCCAAAATGACGAACAGCTGAGCGAAATAGGTCATCAATTGACAATTTTAGTAGAGGGCGGTCTGGCTTGTGGTTTTTGGTGCTTCTGCCTCAACTCAAAAGGGGTCCCTCCGTCGCGTCGATAGACGCGTTCCATGCGGGCGCGCCTAAATCTATTAAGACCCCTGCCAGCCAAATGCTTCCTTAGCCACATGATGACGTTTCGAGACCAGTGGCAATGCCAAGATGCTATGCAAATAACCGGTATATCCCTGTAGGCCAAACAGTCTCCAAACGGGACGTCGATTCACTGGATATCTGACCAACACTCGCATACGGCCTCATCTGCTTTCCAGTATCAACATAGGAGTAGAAATGAGACTCTGTATTCGTTTCATTGCTTTCAACAAAGTCTTTTAATTGCTTATTTTGCCTATTCTGCCTGGTCTCACATCGTAGACCGATAAATGACCGACCCCATGTCCACCATAAGTAACTCTAGATATTCTTGCGGGCAAGAGTTGATTGAGTCTTTGAGTAGTCAGATATTCGACTACTTAACACACGGTTAACCTCTTTGATCGGCCCTCAAGCTCTGATACACGTGATCGCCGCACTTTTTGAAGGCTAGAGCGTGACTACCTTACCTTGTGGCTGTTTTCGTGCCTTCCATTTTTTATTTTTTTTGAAACTCCCGATTGTCTCCTCCAAGCCTTTCTGACGTTCGGCCTTCTTTTTTTCGAAATTGTCCGATAATAAATCTTCTGCCCTCGCTAATGTTCACCTCTCCTTGCCTTTAAACAGCCCGGCCAGTGTTTCAATTCATCTCATCGGTTTTCCTTCCTGTCGACCGAGGGCCCCGTGCCAGATTAACCTCTCTCAATGGCTGCTTGTGGGATATTCTTGCGACTACTGGACGCTCCTCGCCTACAAGGAAGTTCACCTACAACGTACGGACTGCCCTTTGGCACGCTGTCGTCCAGTTAGCTGGCCCGTCTGGTCACCGGCTTCTGGTCGGAACTCTCTCCTCACCGAGGTAAGTCTTTCTCTATATCCTCCCTCATTTATGAAAGGTTTGTGGTAAAACTCTTTGTGGGTTTCCTTGGAGCTGTCTGGCCGTCTCGGTTTATTTGGGATGAGATTGAGACTGTCTCGCTCAGAAAGAATGTTGCTGAACCGGCTTGCTGCCCGTTAATGCGACGCCAACGGGCAGGTCTGAGACTGCCCATGTGGCGGCCTCTTTATTGCTGTGTATAAAGGAAAAGATCTTTCTTTTTAGCACAAGACGTCTTTATGTGATGGGTTTTTCACAACATTTCACATGCTGATAGGAGCTGGCCAAGCCATCGAGCCTCAGGGAACCACATGCCATCCACACAGATACCTGACAAGATCCATCATCTTTGGGACCTGCTCAGGGCTGAACTCCACCTAAAGGCTTTGGTAACAAGTGTCCAGCCGAGGGTACCAGCTGAGATGCAATCCTCTTGACGGAGCTTGGCCAACCATCCCGAACAGAACTTTACGTTTCCATTGCCAGAGCTCTTGCTAACATTAGCCTACATTAGGTACGTTGATCGAGGTCTTTACGAATGGCACAGCTTGAAGCTGGTTTTGCGACTGGTTGCTTCTTGAGCAATCCGGATCTCTCCAAGGATCAGCATACTGTGCTTTCCCTCTAGGCTGTCTCGGCGGGATCCCGCATCGACCGGAGCAGTCGGTCCTTCCCGAGACCTATGATTGCCGGCCACTTGCAGCACTGGCAACGGAAGCTCGCCCCTGCCTCCTGTTGCTGCCACCAGCTCACGCTTTCCCCACATTGCCCCTCCAGCTCGTCTGCCTGTCTTTTCTCGATTCTGTGTTCGCATTCAGGTTCTGACTCTGATCTTCTCCCAACATCTCTCTCGCACATCTTCTTACATCTCGTTTCGATCACACCTTCCACACACTACCTTCTGTTTCAGAATAGAGAAACTCACAAAATTCACAGAGAACACCGCCAGAATGGACACCATGGAACGGAAGCATTTTCGACTGGGGGTTGATGAGCTGGCGGAAATATATCGTCCGCCGCTGACCAAGCAGGCAAGTCGTTACTTACAGAGTACAGCATCGCAGTCGACTAACCGCACCAGACCTTTCTCGCCCCACCCTCCACCATCGATGTCGACCCGGCCGACTTTGCTCTACGCACAAAGTTGGAACTGATCGGCAAGGATACCTTGTGTGACATCAAGGCCATCAATGTCGACGACACGACCACCCAAATTTCCATACATTCACCTGGCACCAAGGCTGCGCAGGACGCTGCCCAGCGAGTGAGGAAACTACTCATCGAGGAAGCCGACATCAAAGACATGTGGAGAACCAATGGCCTGCTGTGCCCATCCAAGTCAGGTGCAGATTACTCGGCCATCGTGTTTGGTCGTGATAGATGCGCTGTCGTCCCCTCAGCATCGGCCCCAACCGTCTCGGAAACCACCTCTGGGACTCATCAAGCCAAGTATAAGGCCCAGCTGTCTGATATTCTTGACCGGGCCGTCGGATCACTTGTCCGAGACCCAAACAAGATGCAGATGCGTGTCAAGATTGGCTACCTACAGCGACGTGAAATTTGGAACCCAGAGAAGAGGAGGTACAGCTCGGCCGAAATGGAGCGTGAGCTAGAGTATGCCGCCTTCCGCGACGTAATCAATCTTTCACCATAGTAAGTATGATTGGACTCGTCCCTCATCAGAGTCGTGCTAAAAAGTCTTACAGTGTTCCTGTCGATGTGGTTGAAGCCCTCAGAGTCGCCCTGATCAACGGGGATGAAAGTTTGCCAGCAGTGGTCCGAGAGAGCGTTGACCCCGATTCCGAACCTGAGTTCTCCCTATACATAGTCACGCCAAATTTGGAGATCGAGTGTATGGTAGAAGGCGTTGAGGCGGGCAGAGGCCGAAAGCCTAGAATCATGCCCGTGTGCGCCTATCAACGAGCCAAATTCTACAACAAATTCTCAGTCCTCAATGCTTGCCCCGACAGGTGAGACAAGACAACACGCTTATTTCCAAGCTGCTTCAGTATACTGACATTCTGCACCGCAGAGGTACTGATTGGGAGTTGAAGATTTTCCAGGAGGTCAGCCGCAGGGAAGGCAGGCCCCGTCTACCTTTGACCGAAGATGACATGGCTAGGCTCACCAAGATCAGCCAAGGTACATATGCAGGTGGCTTCCCCAAGATTTCGGTGTCCCAAGAGTTCATCAAGAAGAACAAGGTGTCGAACATTGTGGGCAAGGTCATCTGGACCCTGGAGCTGAGCTTCAAGTATAGCCTTGAGATTACGGTGTACCATTCGTTCGGAACGAACACAACGAAGCCTCCGATTACGACAACTCTGCTCTCCGTATTCAGTCCTGACTGGGACGATCACCTCGGGCTCCCCGTTACGATTCCGCGGGAATGGGACAAGAGTTTTGCCACTCAACTCCTGACCTCGAGAGACAAGACCCAGGTCCCATACCCCTTGACGCAGGATGGTGGCGATGAGCATCCATTGGATGAGTTTTTGTCGTGGGTATCGTGGGTGCAGGAGATGCTTGATAACCTGTTGAGTGTAGGGGCAAAGGGCTCGAACCGAGTCGTGTCCTGATGGAACATTCGAAGAATTGGATGGCAAATGCCACTTGGGCTATTGGGATCAGGGAGGTGACCGTCTAGTTTATGGTGGGTTGTAGGATGATGGCACTGGGGAGAGAAGCATGGAGCCTTCGTGGGCTATGTATTATATCTCTTTTTGTTGTTTTATATCATAGGGGAAGTCCAGGAGGAAGTTTATTTTTTATTTTTTACTGTATTGTGTTATCGTGTAAGGGGCGAGAGGTGTGTAAATGGGTCATTGTATTCCGAAAAACGAGCTTTGAAGGGGTGGCTGTGATACTGTAGCATTGCAATGTAAAATATCGAGACGCAAAGGTCAGTTATAACCCTAGACTATTGTGGTGTGGCGAAGGAGAGGTGCGTAAGGGGCCACCATATTTGTAGCATGGCACCGACTGGTATCGTCTGTGACTTCTCAAATCAACTGTTACATGCAGTCAAGGGCACTCGCATACGTAGGAATGATAGATGACTTGGACATGAAGCTGGTTCATTGCTATTCTCAATTATTGGCCCGTCATGACGCCTGAGCAGCCTGGCCAGCAGCTGGTCCAGCAGCCAAGACCTTTTGTCTGAGAACTGTGGTGATGAAGTAAGTTAGTGCATACTCAATCCTCTCATTTGCATGGTGAAATCTCGACATGGACCTACCTTCCTCCACCAGCCTCAAATTCTGAGTCTTGGCCTGCACGATGCCCTCCAGTCCTTGAATATTCGCAGCCAACTCCTTGACCTTGGCCTCATAAAACTCTGCCGCGCTCTTGGTGTCCTGTTTTGATCACCAGATCCCGTTAGTAACCCATGCCACTCAGTTCCGAAAGTGTCACAGCAAACAAACCTTTTCGACGTAAAACCCAGTCCCGACATCAACAATGACCTTGTCCGGGTCAGCCATCCGGCCCTTGACGTAGAGGGAGTTGGTCAAGGGGACGAGGATGGGCTTTTTCTCGTCAAAGGTCTCGGAGCCGGACTTGACGACCCGGAGGCACTCCTTGAACTTGGACTGGGCGGCGGCGAGCTGGGCGTAAGATTGGGAGAGGTGCTCGACTTCTTCATCGAGTTGCTTTTTCACGGCCGAGAGTTGGGGGGCTGTGAGGGTATCGAGGGAGACTATAGGATGTGTTAGTTGGGGGTAGGATACGGGCATAGGTTATGGGCTTGCTAAAGGGGGCCAGGAAGGGTGAGGGTGAGATGAGATGAGATGAGATGAGATGGTGAGAGGTGAGAGGTGAGCATGAAAGAGGTGCGGGGTAGAGGAATGGGGGCGGAATGAGACATACTTTGCTCTCCTCCTTGCTGTCTTCCTTGGCTGGCCATTGTGAGAGTTGGGGATCGGTGGTGATCCTGGGACTTGAAGGAGCTGTGATGAGTCCCGGGACGGTGTGTGCGCCTGGCGGTGGATGAGGCGCCGTTGATGCCCCACTATTCCCGCGACTGTTTGCGCTGCGGGGCATTTCAAGGCTGGTTAACTGCATCACGGAAATAGTGGGGTGGGGGGCTTCACCGAGACGACGAAAGATAATATCATCGGATATTTTTACGTGTCAAGTGCGAAGGAAGGAGTGTTCAGGCAGCTTTCACTCAAAGTTTACCAAAACTGTCCTTGGTAAAGTCCTAGGGAAAGCCCTAGATTATTCCGTGACATAAAAACTCTCTACCCAGCCGCCCAACTCCCCATCTCACCATCACCATCTCAGTTCAGATTCAAATCACCCCTCCTCCTGCAATGCCACCAACACCGCCCCCAGGAACAGCCTTCTCCTCCGGCCCTCATGGCCGCTCCCTCGTCGCAACCCAGGACTTCACCCCTGGCTCCCTCATCGCCACCTTTTCCTCCCCGACCCTCGCCCTCCCCGATGGCCCCAGCATGAGAACAACATGCAACTACTGTCTCCGTGTTGGTTCCAATGAGGGCTTCTCCCCCGTCTCACTCAAAGCCTGTACCGGCTGCAAGGCAGCTGTGTACTGCGGCCCCACGTGCCAGCGTGCCCACTGGAAGTCGATCCACAAGGCCGAGTGTAAGATGTTTGCGAGGGTAAGGGAGACTACGGGCAAAGAGTGGCATGTAGCCCCTTTCCTGTCAAAAACGAGAGCAGACATGTTGACGCTGGAATAGGCTACCTACCCCCGCAAGAGCACTGGCCCAAGTCCTCCTAACAAACGACAAGGGCATCCGCGACCCCTTTGACGGGTCCGACCCCCTCGAGAGCAACCTCGAAGGCTTCAAAGCAGACGAGCAAGTCTGGGGTGACTTTGAACTCCAAGCCATGGCGGCGATGACGTACTCGGGTGTTTTCATGAACGAGGACGGGCTGAGAGTTGCGATGAGGTTTCTGTGTCAGATCCAAACCAATGCGTTCAATCGGCTCGATGCGGACACGGGCATGTCGGGGATTTTTCTCGATCCTGCGCTGGCGAGGGTGAATCACTCTTGTGTGCCGAATGCGTTTATCGGGTTTGATAAGAGGACGGCGACGCTGAGGGCGGAGAGACCGATTAAGGAGGGGGAGGAGATTACGATTTCTTACATTGGTATGTGGACAGTTATTGGTAGTAGGATTTAAGTACTGACGGAGTGATTGCAGCAAACGACAAGCCTAGGTCGATACGCCGTGAAGGACTTAGACTCTACTACTTTGAGTGCGACTGCCCACGGTGTGTGGATGATCTTGATGTATACCAGGTTGCTCAGACATCGCCGGTCATTTCACTTAACTCGTTCAGCTTGCAGCCGGATCTTACAAAGTTCCGAGAACCGGCTATCGACAAATCAAGTATCTCGATGAACCAAATCGAGATTATTTACAAAGTGGTCTATGACCAGACAAAATCAGAGCAGGACACCTCGATTGAAGCGGCACGGACTCGCTGGAAATTGTGCAAGCCCTTGGTTGAAGCAAAGATGTGGGCAGTCGAACCATTACCAACCACAATCCTCCTCCTCGCAACCAACTGGCAGACCAACTACAAATGGGCCGTTTACGCCCTACCACTGGCTTGTTTCTTGGCAACCCAATGCGATCCCATCAAGCTTGTTGCCCCATTCATGCCGTGGCGCATCAAGGGCGTCATGATTATTACGAAACTGCTGGCTTTCACGGGAGAACTGACGTCAAGCGGGGAACTGGCAAAAAGGTGTACTCACGAGGGCATTGTTGGTGCTTTGGCGATGGCGGATCAAGTCACCATGTGCCAAGCTCTCCTCCACATCGTCATCCATCAGGGCTCTATCGGCTCTGCTGAGGATTGGGACGTATTGAAGGAGGCCAAAACGATGCTGAAGGATCTTGAGAGTTTGCCCGGACGGGTAGACGAGTCGAAGATGGTACAGGCGTGGGCTAGAGACCCTGAAGATCCGCAAGCAAAAGCATTTTTTGAGAGCGAGGTGCTCAAGCCCGTCAACACGTTGGCTTCCTTCGCGCCGGAGATTTTGGAGGATGTGCTTGTCCAAGGGCAAGGATCAGTAGTTCGACGTTAGCGGGATAACGGATCATCACCTGCCTCCCGAGTTGGATAATGCAGCAGCTGTCTTGGGACGACCCCGTTTCTTGGGATCTTGCAAGTTTGTCGTGCTACTCTGCCTCAACGGGGTGAGCGGCGCAGCACTGTGTCCAGAGACCGTGTAATCCGAGAATTGGTCCGAGGGCACTCTTCGTTTAGATACAGGCTCCGGCTTGGGCGAAGAAGCCCGCTTCCTCGCTCCTGGGTGGGGAAGAAATGTCTCTGGATCCAAGGGAGATGCCACACGTCGATTATTGGATGCCCCGTAATTTGCCTCTGCTCTGTCGACCCTCCCTTTCAAGATCTCAAACTCCATTTGTAAAGTCTCGACCTGGCTGGCTCGATTACCAATCTTCGCGATGTTGCTGGTGAGAATCTCGAGCTCCCTTGAGGAAAAAGAAGGGGCAACACGTTCGTGTTCGTTGCTGCGCACAGTGTGAAGATCTCTTCTGAGCTGCGCGATCTCGGTGCGCATAGCAGCCATATCGCGGGCATAGTTGTCTGCGCTGACGCTCACTTTGATCTCGGCCCTCAGCATATCAAGCTCTCCTGTCGTCTGCTCAAGTTGGTTCTTGAGATCTGAGACTTCCTTTCGCAGCTCTTCGGCGAGATCTGTTGCCTGCTGTTGGATTATGTCGAGGCCATCACTGACCAGGGACACCCGGCTCCGAAGGCCTTCCAGTGTCGCCTTTTGCTCGGTTCCGAATTTATCAATCCCGTTCAGCTCTGATCCGAGTAGTGACTTGAGGCTATCCTGTACTCCGAGTATGCTTCCCTTGAGCCCACTCACTGTTTCATGTAGTGTCTTTGAATCACTCTCCACACGAGCCACACGTTTGTCCAAGCCTGCCACAATTCTGAAGCCATTGCTGTCAATACGTCTGAGGTAGTCTTTTTGGCCTTCGAGTTCGAACTTGAGCTGCTGAAACTCGATGGTACTGGGGGGATTTGAGGACAGGTTGGGCGGCCCACCATTGCTCGTTCTTGACGGTTTGTTGATGCTGAGGACTCTTTTGACCTCGGGTTCAAGCTCCTCTCTTTCCTCACCGAGCAGATTGACAGACGCGATTCTCAACAGAACTTGGTTGCTGTGGGAATATTGTCAGATTTCAAACTGACGACATAGGAGCCATGGCACGTACTCGTCGAGGACATGGTTGACTGGGGTCTCAATGCATCGAAAGCCGAGTATGGCTGCACAACCGTCACAGAAAAGGTTTTGTAAATGGCTGCGATGGTTGTCAGAACAGATTAGAAATATCTTGAACACAAGCAAGGGAATGTTTACCATCCTTCCACCAGAGTCCCATTTCCCCCGATTCTTGTCTTTCCTTCGCATCGAATGGCCAAATCCTTGTCTGATTCAATCACAGGGCCGAGATAGCTATTGCCAATCTGGATCCAAAGATTGGAAAAACTCCCAACTGATGCCTGGCATTTTTTGCATTCGCAGGAGGCCGTCTTCATTTTGATGATGTATGTGTGTTTCAACGCAGGCCTGCAGAGTTGTGATGCTGTTTGATTGAGCCTTTGGTGCCCATTGCAGGCCTCGAGGATCGGTATGTGGAACAAAGGAATTTTGTAGTGGGTTTATTTAAAAAAAATAGAGTTTTTTAAAATGAAGTCTGTGATTATACTTGTTCGCCCAAAAGGCAGGTGCAAGGGGTACAGCAGACAGTGAGCCAGCACGTTGTGGGCAAAAAATTAACCTACGCTTTTTTTTATTATAGAAAAGGAACAATACTTAAAAGGATAATTCCTACGCCTCAAAAGATATATAATGGACCTAGCAGCTATCTTTTAAGGCCTATTAAATATGTTTCGAGGCCTGGTTCAGTTATTTTGTTCACAACTTGGCCTGGCCAGCAAGGTTCTCGCCCAAAGTGACCTAGCTCCACCAGCCACTGTTCACTTATCGAGGTTTTTCGTTTATCGGATTGTGGCCAACCGCCCTGTCCTCACTCCCATCAGTCTTGGCAGGCCTGATTTCTTGCGACTTGGATCAACAGCGGTTTTTGTTTTTTTTTTCACACGTCGCCTGCTTCTTGTTGTTTGCTCGTCGGCATCGCCGAGTATCTTGAACCATTGGAAACTCATTGTACAGCATGGGTAAAAAGAAAAACAACATGGCGAACCGCGGAGTTGCCAGTGCCTTGGCCACCGCCAACCTACCACTCATCAATCTCACCAATCTCACCAATCTCACCAAGGACACGGAACCTGCCGCAACACCAGTGGCTCGGAGTGACTCTGAAGGAAAATCCTCCTCGGGCAGTCTTAAGCGGCCCGGTCCTCATGATGCTGACGACGATGACGGTTGGCAGACCATTGAGCGCGGCCGGCCAGTTAAAAAACACAAGAAGATTCCCACTCCCAACTCAGCTCGATATCCTGCCCTGCATTTCTCAGAGAAGTCAAGACTGCAGTCCAAGGTCAACCTTTCAGCTTTCCGCGATCTAATCCTGTATCTTTTCGCCGATGGTCCCGCGCCACAATGGATCTCCGTCTCACAGCGCCCAGAGTTCAGAAAGGTTGTTGCCATCATGGTGCCTGGTCTGGAGGAGGCCATGTTCGAGCCCGGTTTCGACTATTCCAAGTATGAGACGCCCACGCTGGATCAAGCGATCAAGCAGATTGGCGATGGTTCTTCTCCAGATCACTACTACCCTCGGCCTCTCAGCAAAGAGGCCTTGCCAACCTCGTTGCAACCGTTTGCAGACATGTTCCCGCACCTCTGGCCTGTCAAGGCACCCGGGGACGACAAGTATGGCAGATTACACTCGCCTTTGACCACGATGCTCACTGCTCCTCTGAATAAGAACAAAGACAAGAGCAAAGACAAGGCCGGGCCAGACTCTCACAGAGATATCAGAACTAGAATCACCGAGTTCCTCGCCACTCCAGAAGAACTGATGGACAACGGATTTCCAGTGCATCCGGCCTTGCTGCCAGAAGGTGAGCGCAGGGACTCTTTTAAGAATCCAGAAGGGTGGGCACACACCAGGGTCAGCAAGCTTGAAGATGGAGATGTTCCCGAGAGCGAAATCCAGCAAGGGAGCATCACAGCTGGGCGAGAGGTCCTTGCCATCGACTGCGAGATGTGTTTGACCGGGCCTGGCGAGCTTGCTCTCACGAGAGTGAGCTTGGTTTCTTGGGATGGCGAAACAGTTCTTGACGAGCTGGTCAAGCCTGAGAAGCCCATCACCGATTATGTCACCCAATACTCAGGAATCACCAAGGAGATGCTCGATCCTGTCACAACAACCCTGAGCGATATCCAGGCTAAACTGCTTGATCTTTTACATCCCCGCACAATCCTCTTGGGTCACTCACTTGACTCGGATCTCAAAGCTCTCCAACTCGCCCATCCCTTCATCGTGGACACGTCGATGCTCTTCCCCCACGCTCGCGGCCCACCGCTCAAAAACTCACTCAAGTACCTTGCCCAACGCCACCTGAGCCGTGAAGTCCAGAAAGGCGGTGGCACCATCAACGGGCATGACAGTGTGGAAGACGCCAAAACCTGTTTAGACCTCGTCAAGAAGAAGTGTGAGAAAGGAAAGGCCTGGGCTACCGGTGACTCGCAAGGTGAGAATTTGTTCAGACGCCTCGCCCGCTCCGGAACAGCCTACCGCGCCACAGCCGGGCCCGTGGCAACTGGCGGTCTCCCTGTGGGGAAAACGAGTGCAGCTGTTGAATGGGGCGATGTGTCCAGAAGTGCTTGCAACGCTGCGACGGTTGCCATATCCTGCAAGACGGACGCCGAGGTTGAAGCGGGCGTGATTCGCGCAGTCAAGGGCGACCCGGATGGATTGGAGGTTCCAGGAGGCGGTGTTGACTTTGTCTGGGCGAGGTTGAGAGAGTTGGAGTTTGTTCAGGGGTGGGCCAACAGACACAAGCCGAACACTCCTCCTGTTGCTACGGTTGCAGAGGAGACGCCCGAGGTTCAAGACGTGAATGGCGATGCTGAGAAAGAGGCAGTTTCTCCTCTGGAGGAGTGCCTATCTACGCTTGCGCAGCGACTCCAGAGGATCCACGCTGCGTTGCCCCCTTGCACACTGTTGATGGTGTTGAGCGGGACGGGCGACCCGAGGGAGATGAGCAGACTGCAGGCTATGCATTCCCAGTTCAAGAAGGAGTATAACACTCCTGGGACGAAGTGGGATCAGCTCAGTGTGAAGTGGACGACGGACGAGGAGGACGCGTTGAGGAAGGCAGTCAAGGTGGCGAGGGCCGGTGTTGGATTCCTAAGCGTCAAATGATGGACAGCTGATTGGCATATGGTGCTGGGGGGAGTTGAACCGAGATACCCAAGCAGCGTTCCGGTTAATTGGGTGGGAATATTTTCTTGTAACAGCGATTGTACAGCAGCAGCAGCAACCAGACAACCTGGTCCTTGAAGAAACAAGACCAGGCACAATACCAAAAACTTTCAAAACATGGTGGACCTCGTGTATGCAGTGATAACAATGACAATTGTGACTCGCTTTGTGTATATGGCTATTTGTCTCTATGCACTACCCAGCAACGCTACCAGCCCCCCTCCCCACCAGCTATTGTATGCCACAGAATAATCGCCACGAAAATGCTGATTGCAATGCCTCTCCTTTCGCCTCCTTCCCAACACTTACCCAAAACCTGTTACCGCCCCTTTTCAGCCAAACAAAGGAAATATCAACAACCCCTACTCTCACACAACCAACAACCTCTCCCAAACCACCCCCTTCCTACCAGTCAAGTGCCACAGCCCCCCTTTCTCACACGCACCTTTGTTACGGTCACCGTCCCCGTCAAAAATCAAACTCTCCTCTGAAAATATCAGGGTCAACTCCAACAACAACCTTCTCGGCCAGATCCCTCCTCCCCATCTGGGTGAAAACCCTCCTCAGCGTATCATACAGCGTCGTGCTCCTATTCTGAGTGGTCATGGCGTCAATCCTCGCGTCCGTGTCCGGACCACCTCCGCCACCGAGCAGCTCCCTAGCCTTTTCCCTCCCGCTCTTCTCGACAGACTTGTGCATATCCAATGAAGCGAGCAAATGCCCCGCCGCCTCGGCATGGCACCCGATGTTGATGCAAGAAACACCCAGGTTATATCTCGCCCTGACAAAGTTGGGGTTGATCGACAGCGCCTTTTCGTACGCGGCAATCGCCTCCTCTGAGCGGCCCGAGTTGGCGAGCGTGGCACCGAGGCGGTTCCAGAGGAGGTGGATCTGCTCGCGCTGGTTGGAGGTGCCCATTTCCGAGGAGTGGAGCGCGGCTTGGAAGCAGTCGACCGCCTTGTCGTACTCCTCGGCGCCGTAGAAGAGCACTCCGAGGCCGACCTGGACGTCGGGGTCCATGTGGTCTCCGTCGGGGGCCAAGCGGGCAGCTTCGAGGAACAGGCTGGTGACGCGGTCGTGGAGCTGGGCGCGGTCGGTAAAGCCGAGCTCGGCAGCGGACGACAGATCTTGCGGGGCAATGACCTGGGGGTACTTGACGCTGAGCCACCTTTCGAGGGTGCGGTAGGCAGTGCTGTCGTAGCCTTCGTTTGTGTAAGAGACGGCCAGACCCATCAAAGCGGCGAGGTTGTTGGGGTCGAGCTTCATGGCTTGTTCAAGAGCGCGGATAGCAGCCTCCTCCTTTTCGTTTTGGGCTTGCACATGGCCAAGATAGACCCAGGCCTCAACGTGTTCGGGGTCCTTTTGGACGGCAGCCTCAAAAGCAAGAGCGGCCAGGGAAAGGTTTCCGCCTTCGTTCATGATCCGAATGCCCTCTTCAAATGGGTTTGTCGTGTTCTCGAAGATGTTCTCATCCTCGAAGAGATAATCCTGAACGATGGGATCGGCTCCGAGCCTGTTGTTCAGTCCCCAGTCGTGGAGATTATCTCCGCCAAAGTTGGCGCTGTCGAACTTGGCAAAGTCGTCCTCGATATCGTCCAGTTCCTTGAGCTGCGCCTGCTCTGCTTGGATGCCGCGCCATATCGACTCCAGGTCACCGTAGCCGGTTTCGGAGTGCAGGAGCTTCTCGTCCATTTTGTTCAACTCGGGCTCCATGGCCAAAGCCTCGTCCTTTTCTGTCTCCCGCAGTTGGCGATCGTGGAGCTCCATCTGCTGGAACTGCTCTTCCCATTTGCTCTCGTCCAGCTCCACAACCTTGCCCTTCCCCTTACCCTCGACTGCCGGCTGTTGGTGTTGCTGGAGAGGCTGGTGTGCCATGTGCATCTGACCACCAAACATGGGCTGGTACATGGGGCGTTGCATCATATTGTAGCTCATACCACCGCCCATCATCATGGGCCGCTGCATGCTCGCGCTGGCGCCGGGCATCGCCGGGGCATGAGATACGGCAGCCGCAGGGTTCATGTGCTGAAACTTGGCGAATTCGTCGGCGCTGAAGTGGGTGCCGGGAGGTGCGTTGAACGCGGCCTCCATCGCGGCCTGGGTATCAGGGGCCCATGTTGGCGAGAGCGGAGAGCCGGACTGAGCGCGAAGGTGATCGAGATGGGCGTGGGCCAAAGGACCCTGCTGCTGCTCGAGGGGCATGTCGGGAAGGGTGGCATTCTGGTGGAGGAAGCCATTCATCATCTATTCGGCCAGTCAGTCAGTATCGTTCCTGTGCCCTCTTGGTCCTCACATCCTTCCTACCTCGTCTTGGGGAGTATTGCGGCCAACATTTCGGAAGCCACCCATAGCACTATTTGGGCCTCTTCCCACAAGCCTGTCATGCTGCAGGCTCTTGTCGTCTCCGACATGTTTGGTGAACTGGCTGAGCGGATTGCCCGCCGTTGAACATTCGGCGCCTCCAAGAAATGACATGGCTGTGATTGTGAAGTGTGAGGAAATCGCAAAGGCGGTCGAGTTTGGCGAGGGCAATAAGGGGTTCAATCAGGTGGGAGGAAAAGGAGAGCCGAAGCGTGTGGCGGGGTGACGGGAGGTATGTAAGCAAGAATCGGGCCCAACTCGACCTAAAATGCAGAGCGAGACGGTGAGCAAGTTGCTGGTTTTCTTTTGGCCTCTCTTGTCGAGCTGAAATGGCCTCGCGCCTGGCGAATTAATATTCGATACAGATGCTGTGCTGAGTTGTACGTTGTTTGTTGTCCGGACCGAGTTGATGTCCCGCCACTGGCAACAAATAAGAGCCATGTGCCGAGGCAGCTGCTGGAGGGTCCGGCCCCCCTGGGGATTGCTAAGCTGCTGGTTGCCCCGGGACCGGGCCCCCACTTTGTTCAGATTCGTTTTTCAGCTGGTCTTGTGCATTGGGGCTGCTGCACATTGAAGAAGACGACAAAGAGGAAAAAGGGAGGTGGGAGTCTTGGAGAGAGCATATTATTGCTACATAACATAATCTTACAGTCTATCTTTCGCCAATTTGTAACAGAAAGCATCTCGGTATAAACACAAATCATGGTATTTTACACAGTTCTGGCTACCTCCCATCGTTCACGACAAGAATGAAACCTCCGCCCACCATCCGGGGCCGACATGAAAAAAGGGGTATTTGCATCATTATCAACGAGGGTTGGTCGGTCCATCTTAAAAGCCGTCGTTGCTGGGACGGTCGTTGCGGTCGCCACGGTCTCTACGGTCTCCGCGGTCACCACGGTCACCACGGTCACCACGGCCACCAAAGCTTTTGTTGTTGGTGCGCTCACCCTTTCCGTAACCGGTAGCGAAGTCGATTTTCAGTTGTCTGCCACCAAGGTTAGTGGCGGCCAGCTTCTCCTTGGCAGCGTCAGCGGAAGCAACGTCGGTGAAATCGACATGGGCAAAGCCACGGGGCCAGCCGGTGGTGCGGTCGACAGCGATACGGATGTCGGTGACGTTCGAGAGGCCAGCGAAGAGGTTGTTGAGCTCGGCGTCGGTGGTCTCGTAGGGGATGTTACCGACGAAAAGTTGATTGGTGGGGGCATTAGGCGTCCTGTTCTGTTCGCGGGCACGGGGAGTCTGCTCCTCGTCTCTGCGGGGAATGCAGGTTACCCGGCGTCCATGCCAGAAAGAGCCGTTGACAGCGGCGCACGCAGCGCTGACGGCGGAGGCGTCCTTGAAGGTGACAAAGCCATATCCTCTGCTCATACCCCGGGGGTCGCGGGCAACGTAGGTGTCCTCAATCTCGCCATATGTCTCGAAGGCCTCCTTCAGATGCTGCTCGTTGACCTCAAACACAATGTTGCGCACAAAGATGGCTCTCGACTCTGTTACACACTATCAGCATGGTGTTCATATGATATCGCGTGTGCAGGGTGCAGACTTACTGTCGAGCTGCCTCCTGGGCTGGCGTTCTTCTTGGGTTTGCTCTGTGATGTTCTCCTCGGCCGCATGTGCCTCCTCGGTGACGTCCTGCGACAATGGGTCTTGCGAAGTGGGCTCCTGGGAATACCACCGCACAGCTTGCACAGGGACAGCTCTGGAAACCGCGGCGGCTCTGACGATGGAGAAAGGGAAGGGAGCAGAGGTGGTTTTGACCGAAACGGCTCTGGAGGCCGAGAGGGCAGATCGCACAGCGGCGCGGCGAAGGGATTGCCTAGTGCAAGACAGCAGGTTAATATATGGAGGACAGAGATGGTGAGCTCATTCGTTGGGTTTACTTACATTATGAGAATGGGGAGGGTGGCTTAGAGGATTGGTCTTGTGTGAAGGGTAGAGGTAAGCCGAATGTGTGATGGGCGGATGATGAAGTTTTTGAACGAACTGCGCCAAAATTTCTTTCCCACCAGCAAGCTTTGCAAGGATGCGGATGTTTGTGTCCCCACAAGTTTACCAGCCAGCTCTATACGGTTAGGCTGAGTGGGACATTGAGAGCCGACATTCTGCTTCAACCCTAACCCCGACTGTCCTGCCAAGCCAAGATAAGCTTATCCGATAACTTATCGTGGATAATCGTCATGATCCCCACCACAGTTGTTGACAGGTTCAAGACGAACGACAGTTCAATAAACTCGCCACAAACCACGGACAATTCTCCCAAGCAAAAATCCCAGCAGTCGAAGCCTCCATTTGAAGAATTTTCCAAACGTGCGCTTACGGTCCTTCCGCTCACCCGTGGCAATTCTTGCTGCTCCCAACCCCCACCATTCAAAAGACAGGGTCGGTCCAAGCACACCAAAAGAATGCATAGCTTCCAAGAGGCATCATCCCACTCCATACTCAAACCCTAACTCCTTCTCCACCCACCATAACATTAACATACAACAACAGGGCGTGTGGCTCAGTTGGTAGAGCGTTCGCTTAGCATCGGGACTTGATCTTAGTATCAGTCATCTTGTATGCGAAAGGTCCTGGGTTCGATTCCCAGCCCGTCCACATATCTTTTGCCTCATTTCAGTTCTGACATCTTTGTGCGGTCCTCCTCCTCATTTTCTTTTTGGCCATGGCTTGAGATGGGTCTCTGTGCTGTACGAAGAATCACGAGAGCTGATGTTTGGCCTACCATTGCGGTGTTTCAGTATGCTATTCTAGTGGCACCATCACCATAGGTGGTATACATACACTTGACAGGGACGTGTATGTTGATGCGGTGTGCTAAAAATTGAAAATGCTAGCTGAAAGCAAAAGATAGGACTTGAAAGAAATCTGCGATGACTGTTGAGTAGATGTTGAAATGTATAGGTTATGGCTTTTCACCTGCTTAACCGCCTTTTTGAAACCTCCCGAGTCGAGAGTGGCAATCAAAAGATATGACACCTAAGGTGTGTAGAGGCTTAGCAAGGGACACCTGAAATATGGATGTATTAGACACCTGTACCTTGAAGAGTTTTCAAAATCAATGTACTTCGATCAAAGAGAATTCTAGTCACCACTTGAAAGATCATCTTTCCTGGCACCATGACGCCTGGAAAGTGCGGTGGTAGCCATTGAATACCTCTTCATGCAAGTCTAACTGTTTGCCAGCCGCTCCTGAATATAGACGATTACCCCCCTTTATTTCTCGCTTCCTTTTAGAAATTCATAGGATGGCTCAACCTCTCCCTCTTTTGATAACGTTAACCTATTTCAAGATTTCAGATATCACCCCCCCAAACAGACAGCCTGCCCGTCCAAAAAAAATCAGACCACTTCCTCCTCTATAAGAGAAGCTCCTCACCGTATCACTACGTACCACGCAAAAGTCTCCCACGACAGTGGCAACCACCCTTGTACCTTATTTCTCAACACTCTCCCAAGGTACAAGTAACCTGCCGTGTGCTCTTCTGAAAGCTATCCCACATCGGATGGATGGACGGCTGTCGTTTGCTCATGTTACCTCACCTCCTGTCACAATCAAAGGAGCTACGAGAGCCATGTGTGCAGGCTTTTTCCGCTAGTTCAGGGGAAGGGGGGAAATGACATGCGAACAATCGGCCTTCTTGTGGTTGGTGTGAATGATTGTGGTACTGAGGAGGAGTGTTATGGTCAGTATGACAGATATGAGTGGGATGGGTTCAGGGCAAAGGTAAACTTCCGTGAGTGGGTGCTTTGCGATGGTTCCATCATCTCGAGTAAATAGTCGAGGGACCTGTAGCAACCCCTCTGGAAGATAATGGTCTTGCTACCTGTGTATAATGACATACGACGTTTCTCGCTCGCCCACCTCCGTTGGTTCAGTCATGGCCTTGTTCTGTATAGTCGAGAGTTTTCAACCAGTATTGGGTGAATCCGGCACTGGTAACCTATGTGTGCCATGTGACACCCAGTCTTGTGCCCCTGATAGCCTGCTCCTCGTCCTTCTTGCGGAGTGAAAACGCCATCCCTCGAGGACATCCGTTGTGCTCTGGGGCACATCCTCGCGCCCGCGTCCCCAATCCCATACTGATCCCCCCTTTCCCCCCTTGCTGTTGATTCGCCAGATACGTGCAGGTTTCCCCTCATGACAGTAGATGTTTGTGTGAGCAATGTGAGTTTGTGATTGGCGAAGCTAGCCACAAATGGCGGATGCAACTGTCCTGTGGCATATCAGTTCAGCTATAAACTGTGATGAATGTGGTACCTAACAGCACATAGCAGAGCACCGGATGATGATAAACCTGACCCTCTGCCATGATATCCGAACCTGACGGAACCGAGAGAGGGGGTTTTCAGGAACAGAGAAACACGTGGGCTCGAGGCACCCGACACAAAAGATCAGCCTTTCGTAGAATACCGTGAGACTCAAACTATTTCCAGAGAAGCTTGCGTAGCCTCTCGCCAGGAGCGAGTGCTTTGGTTTCTTTTGTTTCTATTCGAGCACTTTTCTTCTGTCCCTGAACCGATTCCTCCTCCTGCCCAATAAAGGGGCATAGGAGAAACCATGAAAAAGGGGCAACCTCTGCGTCTCAGGACGGAACAAATCAGGGACGCCGGACAGGAAGACCTTTCGGCCTTGGCTGCGTGAACATGGGATGGTGACGCACCCCCTCGCCAATACGAGCCAGAGAACACAGTCAGGACTGGGATGAACTGTCCATGTTCCAGTCCGACAATATTCGGTGGAGAGAGCCACAAGAGTACAAATCAGCTTTACAGCATGGCTGTCTCCGGATCAGTGTTCTTGTGCAGGGTGATACAGCAGCTGCGGTCGTACTTGTGGTAATTGCCTTCATTGGGTCCCTCAGCTGCCAGTTTTTTTCTTGTGCCCTGCAGCCCCAGCAGTACGACGCCATCTGGTGAGCATGAGATACTGAGAACGATCAGCAAGGTTGCAAGCAAATGTTCGTTCTGTCACGGAAAAAGAAACCAAGAAAAAGAAGCAAAGAAAAAGAGGGGTTGCCCTTTAACCCTCATCCGCGAGCGACGGATGTTGGCTTCACAAACACTGGCCGCCAGCGACTGTGGCCCAGCGGCTCCAACATGAGGGTTTTCTGTCGGCCGGAACCACTTTTCTATCATTTGGCTCCCGGTTTTGTCACCGCAGCAGCAGAAATCACAGTGTCACGGCCACAACCCATCAGATGAGCAGGGTCTCACGCCGGTTCCGGATGGAAATGCAGGTACAGGCAGGCTATTGAGAAGTTGACAATGTTCAACACAGTGCGTGTATCCGTGTTGTGATAGTGAGGATTCTGCTCGGCTATGCAGGAGAGCACATATGCTTGGTGAAGTTCGAGGCCTCAGCCGCATCAAGGGGAGGCCATCGAGAGTCGAGCCTAGGCAATCTGGCTTACGGAAAGAGGTTGCTGCACGGTCAGTTGGAGGCGTCCAGTGATCGACGAGTAATACATCCCCGGAAAACTATGGCGACATCCCCATGCGGGAGGATCTCCCGGCCGAGCGAAACCGCAAGACCTGACCTGGCTGGACTGGACTACGGAGACACTCCGCGCCATTGTTGTGCAGGCTTGGGATTTGTGAGATGAGATCGCTGACCAGACCGCCCGGATGTCGACAGGTGTCGACTAGGACTCCTGTATTGTTGGCCCTGAGAAGGCCCAGAGAGCCACGGTAGGAGGCCCACAACCCCGGCCGTGGTTCACCCCGGACAGATCAACCATGCAAGATACCGTTTCTCTAGTCTGATTAGTGGGTTGCGGGTACTGAATAGCCGTGGGGTGGAGAGTGAGGGGCTGCAGCCAACGTCGCCGACTCCTCGGGGACCTGTGAGGTACAAGGCTTTTGTGGCTGTCTACAGTCGGGATATTCTCTAACACTGTCTGGCTGAGTAGGCCTCTCTGTCGAAGAGACGTCGTAAGCGCAGCCGTCAAGGCATTCGCAAACCGCTTGCTTGAGACAACTGTACTGAGGTCAGCTTGGGTTGTTGTGAGGAACTTTGAGGGCAGTGTACAACAAGAAGAAAGCGGAAGGATCTGGCCCAATCCACATCAAGATTGGAACTAATCCGCGAACTGGTTTGCCTCGCATATCGATAGTCAAGGCGCTTGGGGCCGCACAAGACTGGGCTTTGCTGTACGTAAGTAGTTGGGTCGATATCTGATGGGTTTCGTACCGGATGTCCTGACGGTGTAGAATCTGCAACTTTGGTCACACTTTGTGCGCCTTTTAGGATGTCTTGCCTGTGCCATCTCCCAGCTTGGAAGCACTTGTCCAGAGAATGAAGCTGCAAGGTACTCAACAAGGCAACCCCGCACCTGACACGACACCTGTTCGCGCAAGATCGCATGCCAGATGCCAGATGTCCGATGCCAGACGAGCCGAGCGGTAATTGTGATTGAGAAACAAACATTTTGGGGGCGTGATCGTCCAGGTCCTGAGCTGCTTTCGGATCCTGGCGCCGATATGAACCAGGAGATGTGGGGCAAGGGAGATCCAACACAGCTGTGTTTGTCGGGACCATTCGAAACAGAGATCTGTCTGCCAGTGCCGTCTTCACAAACATGAGCAGGGGGAAATAACGGTGTTTTGCGAGTGGTTTCAACGCCATAAAGCTTACTGGGCTGGCTACCCCGTTCCCTTCTGCTCTCGGGCCGTTGAGGATCCAACCTGGAACTCCCCGAGAGCCTGTTGGTCCACTGGACGGCGGCTAAGGCGTCTCAAGACCGAGGCTTGACAGTACATAACGCAGTAATAAACTGGGTGATGGAGATTGGAGAGGCTATGCGCGTTGCCAAGGACCATTCCCTGGTGTGTTGTAGTCAGGACGGATATTCGCCCGAGTTGACGAGACAAAGTGGACGGTACCAAGGTACAAGACTCGGTAAATAATAAACGTGCCAACAAAGGCCACGAGGGCCGCAATCAAAAGCACATGGAACGAACCAAAAACTTTGAGCCAGCTCGGAATTTGGAATGTGACTTGCCCTTACACTAGTGCTCCCGCTATGTGGTTGTACAGACCTTTGGACACCAGCTGGCGTCGTTGGTTTCGACACCTGGCGGCAACCAGACGGCAGGCCCAGAAGCAGGCCCGAAACAGTGTCACTCTGGAGGCCACTGAAGCTCTCCCTCTCCTTCGTCACCGACCGAGCAGCAGTTCAGCAGCAGCGACCCTGGCCCGGCTGGGTATCTCTCGGTTCCTCTTTCAACCTTCAGCGCAACGTCTTGTCCGAAAGCATCAGCGTTTCGATCCGCCAGATGGGAAACAAAGCACGGTCCACATCCACAAACAAGATGTCGATCCGCCACGGCGACATTGCTACCGTACCGACTTCCCCGAACAGGCTGGAGCCATTCAGGGCTACCAAGGGTCTAAATATTCCCGCCGAACGAGCCACTGGGCGGGAAACCCTAAACGACACGTGCCGAGCGCGCAAGCAATTGTGCGCGGACAGGGGTTTGTGACGTTGCAATGCATCTGGCTGGATCTCCAGCAGGTTGCGGGATGATTCCGTATGGAGGAAGGACTTCATTCCTCTCAGCATCAAGTACCTCCCGCAGCCCGCCCCTCACTCAGGTATCTACGCTAGGGTGAAGTGACAGCTTTTGGTTCTTGGCTGAACTTCCTTGCCCGTGAACTGTCGTAGTGTAGGAGCCGGGCCTGTGTCTGGCGCGCCACGGAGATTATCTACGGCACCAACCACTGGGTCTTGTCACCGAAGAGACACCCAGAGAATGCTGACATGACTACCAAAGCCCTCCCGCTGTTGTGTTTCATTCGGCCTTGCTAGAAGTGTGGTTCGAGTGGCATATAGTGTTCAGCCGGAAGTCTGCCGAATCTTGCTCACACAATTCATACACGCCAATGGTGGAAGAACTGGACCAAACGCACGTTCTCTGTCAGCTCCCATGTTACGGTTTGGGATTGGGTCTCTTATCTTCCCTTGCATCGAGAGGCAGACGCCGCTTTGCAACCATCGTTTGGCTTCTGCAGGTGGCCCAGTCCATCCACTGACAGAGAGAGCAAAATAGAAGTATGTCCACCTGGGATTAAGTGACTAGTCAAATATACCTGATACTCAAGATGGGACAAATGTGCTCTACAGTATGCAGTCTCTGCTGTCACCCCAACACGGTGTGGCCCCAGGACACGGTGATATCTCTAGGTGAGAGAGGACAGACTGTTCCACACCTGGACAAGATATGGGCAAACTCTTGTGATGGTCATCCGCAATGCCGCTCTTGTGTGCTCGGAGAAGGACTCGGCCGGTGCCCCGTTACTCGGTGGTATGCTCCCATATCGACATACCCTCTATCACAGGCCAATCTGAGCACGAAGGTACTTGTGCAGTTTGAAGAAAACTGACGCAGTCAAATTGCGACATGCACGCTCCACCAGAGAGACCACAACAATGCACGTAAAGGTCTCGCTCACCTCGCGGGCACATGAGGCCACATCCCATGCTTTCTCTTTGATTCGCCATGTGCTTGCAAGCTCAGAGTGTGCGCAAGGCACCCACTAACCCACCACCACCCCGCCCTCTCAGTCATCCCACTGCTGCTGTCCACGGTGCTCCAGCCAGGTACTTTCCAAAACCGTCCCGACTATGGCACGCCACGCCGTGTTAGTGGCCCCCAAGCCCCCCAAGCGATCCTCTGGGCGGCGACGATCGGGATCTGGTACCACGGGCCTGCCCTACTAACAGCTGTCCCTCGTGGCAGGTGGCCTGAAATGTGAAATTTCAATTGTAAAATAGAAAGCGCAGCCCCAGCTCAGCATCCTCGCGACCGCTTTGGCTCCTGCCACTTTCGGCAGCCCTGTTAAGAGATTGCCAGTGCGGTACTTTCCTGGCATCTGCCTCTGATCCGTTCTGTGTCACCTTGGCTGTGCCGAGAGAGCGCACGCACACAAACCCACAACCCTCGAACTTGTACCCCGGCATGCATGCATCGACCGCGCTTGTGCCATGTCGCTCCCATTTCCCATTGTAACTGCGTACCCGGAACCTGAGCATGCGGGATACATGTGGCTGCCCACAGAGGAACGGGCCCTTTTCTTACGCTGGGAGGGATTCCCCTACCATCCACGCCCTCCACTCCGGTACCCATCGCCGCCCATCAATTCCATCCGCCCAATCCCAGCTGCCCGTTGTCACCCCCGGCTAGCGGCCCCTTTGTTGCTGGCTGCTGGCTGGTGCGCTTGGTTCCCCCCTCCACGCCCCCCCTTCTCCGGCAGCTTGTTCCCCAGCCCAATGCTGGCAGGCTTCTTTGAAAAACGTGCTTGTCCCGTCCTTGACACTCGACAATCCTGCCGCTTCTCCTTCGGCTTTCCGTTCCAGCAACCTGTCGTCGATATTACCACCACCTGCGAACACTGCCTGCCGTCAATCTTGACCTTCTGTCCGTCTTCACAGCCGCCCAACACCAGACAACAAGACCAAACGCCGGAGACGTCGGCTCAGCGTCAATCGCTTCTGTTTAATTCGCGACATATCTCATCCTGTTCCTCGTCTTTATCCCCGCCCTGCCTCCAGTGGCCCATTGACCTGCCTCCCGACCTGAGCCAAGCACCACTGCCGTCGCCGACCGTGGCTGCTCCCTTTTCAGTGCCTTGAGACGTTGAAAGCTGTTGAGAATCGTCACTCGACGCCGCCGTGGGTTGAGCCACGTGCGGACTGGGATTTCCACACTGCAGCTACTGGCAAACTAGCAACGGCCCAACCAACGTCATGGAGCAACAACGGCCACCTTCGCAAAAGTTCGGGCCCGCCGCCCTGACAAATGTGCTGAACTCACCTGAAGACCACAGAGACTCTGCCTACTACTCAAGCGGAGATGTGTCTAGCAAGCGTATGTTGCTCCAGCTGAAACGAACTACTCGGTCACGGAGGGGGAGAGAAGAAGAGGACTAATAGCTCTGGCAGACAACTCCACAGGCTCAGGCCTGGGCGTCCTTAGCCCACCAAACTCCGGTTTCCAAACCTCGCCCGTTGATAAAACACCATCGCCCACAACAGCGACCCACCTCCTCCCGCTGCCACTCGTGTCTCCGACGAACAGTAATATGAGCGTTGCCTCGATCGTGTCGCCGACAACCCCTCTCAGCGCCGACCCTCGCCGCTTTGACCGTCCGCAATCGCTGGAGTCGGCCCCCAACAGCGCCACATTTGGCCATGGCGAGCTGCCGGAGCCTAGTATGTCACGGAGGGAGAGCGTGGATAGCAGGTTCAACCAGGGATTCGGGCAATTGGGATTGAGCGGGTCCCCCTATGCAAGCCACAACCAGTCGACGTCGTCAATCCAGAATACACTACAGCAACAGAGACATCCTCGTGCCAACCTCGATTCTCTTGCTACAAACCGCATCTCCAATGGGTATCAACCAAACGCAGAACGCAAACCCGAAGTTCATCCCCGAGGAGGAAGAGTTGCGCCAACCATCACAGGGCCAACCACCAGTCTCATTGCTCGAGCAGCAGAGCCTACTAAGGGTCAGGCCTGGGCTTTTCCCGAAGATGACAATGCTATTCAACGCATGTCGGGACCACCTCAGTCCCTGGCAAACTCGAGGAGAAGCAGCGTTGCCGAATCGTTGGCCAGCAGCCAATACACAGTTGATTCAAGGCTGCCTCCTGGACAACGTCGACTCGAAGACCACCACAGCATGACGGAATACCAGAGGCTTTCGGTCGCCTCGGAGTACTCGACAACCCACCATCACTCTCTGCAGCACAAGCAGTTGTCTGATTTGCAGAATGAAGAAGGCGGTCTTCATGCGGGCAGCCAGCCGTATAGCAGGACCCCCGAGCTTCGTATCACCCATAAGCTGGCTGAGCGGAAACGTCGTACGGAGATGAAGGAGCTTTTTGAGCAGCTTAGGGATCTTATGCCTCAAGAGCGGGGCACCAAGGCTTCCAAGTGGGAGATTCTCACCAAAGGTTGGTTTGTTTTCGGAACCATGTGTCTTTTTGTAATAGAGAGCTAATGTCTGCAAAGCCATTCAAGAACACACACGTCAGACCAACACGATTAGAGATCTTCAGTCACATGTTCAGCAGCTTGCCGAGGAGGTAACCAAGCGCGATGCGCAGATGGAGGATATGAGACGTCAGATTCAGGAGCTTCAGTACCGCCAGAGTCACTCAATGCAAGGCCCTCCTCCGCCTGGGTCGGAGCACTACGCGAATGACCAATATGCCAGAGCCCGGCAACAAGCCGAGCTGCCGCCACTTCGGTCTTTCGATGGGCCAACCAATGGCGCAGGCCCTGAGGCTATGACGGGCGTGCAGTACGAAGGTCCACGACCAAATGGCACTACCGTTTACACACGCGCACCAGGGGCGCCTTTCCCCAGATAAAAGTCGACCGGGTTACATTTGGGGTCGGTGTTTCATAGTATCCTCTTCGACGCGGTTTCTTTCTATTCATGTATGTATGTGTATACGAGTCGACAGAAGATTCAGGGGTGCTTTTCTCAAGTTGAGGTGCGTCTGGGATGGAAGGTGGCCTTTTTTTCCCCCTTATACCTGTAGCTTTTTTTTTTTTTTTTTGGGTCAATCCGGTGACAAATACCCCTGGGAATGGGAGGATGGCGAAGGAAAGGGGGTTCAAAAAAAGGAAATCATTCAGTTGGTCAGTTTGTTCTTTCTACCTTTCTTCAGCTCTATCTAGAGCGATCCTTTTTTTTTTGTTCTTCATCATCACCGCCTCAGGCGGGAGAAGGGGTTTGGTGTCATTTTTTTTCCGGGTTTAAGTCAGTGGATGGGATACCCTGCTGGCAGCAAGATACTCGTTTTTTTCTCGGTGTTTGCAGAAAAAGCGGAGGGATGGATGGGATGATGGTGCCGGAATATTTCGAGGCCCAGCCAATGGACGGTTCGCTTTGAGGCGCATGAGCCAGCTTGGTTGTGTACAAGGTCTGGAATATTGCCAGGAGGTATGATGGGATGATCAGGGACGTGGAAGGGCGGAAGATGTTGGGCTTTTTATGTCCCATATGCAGTCGTGCGCATAACAACTTAACTTGATTTTGCTGCTGATGGTGCCTGGCTATATATTTACCCCACCGATGGTTTTCCTACTTGCATTCTTTGGACGGCGGGCTTGGTGATGGCGTTATGTAACGTGGTGAATATTTGGAGAGGTCGGGGCCCTTTAAGGAGGACGGCTTGTTTGGTGTCTACGGTGCCAATGGTGTAGCGGTATAACAGGCACATCTGTACTATAACAAAAAAGGCGTAAACCTTTTGACTTTGATATCATGACCTTGGTGCTGGCCTTTGGGGTGTTGATAATAACTCCATGATAGAAACCAAATACCACAGGGTATTTTCACTTCCCCAATTTTAGTCACGTACCTTAGATCCGAGTTATTGAGCCACAGCAGGGGGAATCATGTGTCCTGAGATGATGCTTTATTGTGCCGCATATTTGTAGAGACCTTTACAAAATCAATTAGGGCGGTGGGAGCGTCAGGGTAGGCAATGTTGTTGCTCTCTCTTGGTGATTTTGGTTTTGAATTCAAACCAGAGATCCACAAATAGCGATAGAGATGCCCACTGCTCCCAGCGTTGTGGTCTAGCACATGAATAGTTCATTCAGAAATCTCTCTTCACTGTTACTGGAAGGTTGTTCGGAGCAACAATTGACTTTTGATCACAAAAGCGAACAAGAGCCAAACTACGCCGAGCGGGGTTTATAATTCACCCACGACAAAAAATAGATTTTCTCGACTACTTAACTCAGCTCACTTTACTCTTTACCTTTTTTAACAAATCAAACCACTTCTATTCACTCAAACTCATCCATCTTTCCTCCCCGCTTACCTAACTTTCCACAAGGAACGTTCTCTGCCTTGTTCGATCCACCTTGAGAATTCATAACAAAGTTCTCATATCGAATCTCGACAAGCTTACCTACACACAGAAACCCTCAAATGGACTCCAGCAATTCATCACCCGCGACAGAGCCCCGTGCGACCACCACGCCCCCAGATGCCTCAACTGCCAACGTTGAAGCCCTGGACGCCTGCTTGCGACTAAAGGAGGCGTACATGAAGGCGGCTGCAAGCGCGCCGCACATGGCCAAGCTTCACGAGATTGTAGCCAAGTCAGCTCCGTATGGCGACGAAGACTCCTGGAGCTCATCAGAATGCGGTCGCACTTAGAGCCCCTTTGGAACCGTCCAAAAGCGACATGTTCGACCCCCTACAACAGAGGAAACCAGCCAGGGATCTGCGGATGAGGAACAGACGATTCTCCCTCCGGACAACCTCCACAATGAAACTGCTCCCAGGGTTGCTCGTCAGTGTGGGATCGAGCATCATCTCTGCCCTGCCGAGGCTTTCTCACAAGATTCTCTCGGGACTGAGAAGAGAGAAGAGCCTGAGACCCTGGCAACAGAGAACAAGCCCACAGAAGAGGACAGATCTTCTCAGGTATCTTTTGAGAACAACTACACTTTCACAAATCAACCATCACGCCATCTTCCACCGGACCATCAAGTCGTCAGCCATCAGCAGGGGCAGACTCCGCAATCCCTTGCTCCAAACAAACACCGCCAGCCCGAGTCAGAGTCCCTTCTTCAAGCCGACCTTCAACAGCTTCAGATACAAGACTCTGAACCCGAGATCGTTGACGATTCAACCCCCTCCGCTGACACAATCAACTCTTCCAACCCAATAACCGTCACCGGCATTGCCACTGGCACGGGAATCACCCTCTCCTTTGCTTTCCGCCCAAACGACCAGACAGCCGTCTGTGATGGAAAACTTGGCGTTGTCCGGGATTTCGATAACGAGGAGCGGCAGGACGAGATCAATAATGGGATAGCTGAAACACTGTCAAAGTGCATTTGGCACAAGCTTTCCGCGCCCCCCACTCGGGCCGACCCGGCCACTAGTGGTGGAGCGCCAGTGATCAGGTTGACGACACCGGAGGGAAGTGAGCACGAGCTGGTGGATTTGGCATACTATCCAGGGCTGGACTGGGCTGATTTGAATGATGAGGAGGGTTCCTAGACTGCGTTTGGATTTGGGGGGATATAGGAATAACACAGGGGATTTGTGGTTTGCATTGGTTTCGGTTGCATTAAATGATACCCACATGCAGATACCCATGGCGTTGGTTGGCTTTTGTTTACAGGAGGGTTGATACTGTTGATTTGGAGGTGACGCGAACGAGATAGGGGCTGATTAACACAATGAGAGGCTTGCTATGATACATGAGGCTCAAAAAAATCTTTGCAAAGTAAAAAGGGTATCTATGGTCCATAACCACCGTCCTCCCACTCCCGAGATTCATGATACCAAACTCAATGCTTCGGGTTGATCCACACCATGATCTCATAATATCCCTTAGAGATCGACGCCCATATCGCGCTGACGATCTTTCCAAGCTGATTCGGGATGTATGCGGCCACCCAGCAGAGGGCTTCAAACAGGAAAACCAGCACCTGCCCTGTGAGCCCAAACAAGGCGACAATACTTATACCCACACACTTGCCCAAGCCAACAACTGCCTTACAAATTGCCTCTGGCAATCCGACAAAAACAGCCCGAAAGACAGCCTTGATCCCATTCCATACATCCTTCAAAGAAATACTCCTAAAATAACCCAGCACAGCTGCCACAGCCGTATGAAGAACCGACACCACCCTCAAAAACACGTTCCCCACTGCCACCCCCATCCTCTTCATCGTCGTCCATATCCAGATACGCAGATTCTTCATCACCTCCGGAATCTTCTTGACAATCTTCCAGATAAACTTCCCCAAACTCTTCATCACTCCCGGAATTTCCTTCATCACCTCCCAAACCCCCCTCGGCAACTTCTTCACCCCCTCCCAAACCCCCTTGCCCGCCCTCTTCACTCTCCCGGGAAACTCCTTCACCTGCCTCTTCGCCCACCCCCCGAACCGCCCCTTATTCTCCCAGCAATACTTCACCGTCTTCACCGCCGGTCTGATGATCGTATGCTTCGGCACACTCCAAGCCAGAAACCTCGGCAGATCCCACACAAAAAACCACACAAACCTCACAATCTTCCTCCCTGCTTTTCTGACTCTCTCCACAGCAACACTGTGATGCGTCTTCCACCTCCTCCACGCGCCCCCCCTTCTCGTCGGCAGGTACTCGACCACCTCCCTATGCCCCCCCTCCGCCGCCAGCCGCAGGGCTAGCTGCCCGTCCGGAGCAATTATCCCGTCATCCGCCCCAAAATCCTCCACCAACAGCTTCACCAAGGCCAGGTTCCCATTCTTGGCGGCAACCATGAGCGGTGTCCGCTCGAGCATCAAGTCCCCATGCTTTCCCTTGTAGCGGAGGCTGCCGGAGGGTAGTTTCCCGTACCCGTTGACCTGCGCACCGAGGGAGATCAAGTGACAGGCCATCTGCCCGTTTCCGGCCTCGATGGCGGCCATGAGGGGGGTTGCGCCCAGTGCGTTGGGACAGTCGGGGGAGATGAAACCAGACTTGACAAACTGGGTGACGAGCTCGGTGTTTTTGCCGTGGGCGATGGCGTGGAAGAAGGTGGAGATGATTTGCTGTTGGAGGGTGTGGTATCGGCGTCTGAGGTCCTCGTCTTCCAAGGCGGCCAAGGGGGAGCTGGTGCGGGAGGGGTGGATGGTGCGCCGGTCGCGGGAGGAGTAGTAGGGGTAGGGGGGGGAGGGGTAGGTTGTCAGGGGGAGGGAGAGGAGGGTGGAGAGGGAGGGGAGGTGGGTAAGAAAGGAGGGGATGAAGGCAGAGTCGAGTGGGGTGTAAGTTGGGAGGGGGGCGTCGGGGGAGAAGCCTGGGTCTACGACGAAGCGGTCGAGAAGGGCGTGGAGGTTTTGGTGCTCAAGATCCATGGCGTAGAGGTTCTGGTTTTCGATTCTGAGACGGGCAGTCCCGGGATCTAGAATGGGGAAGTCGATCTCCCCTGTGGGAGCTTGAGTGTTAGTATTTCCATTGGTGATGTAGGGATTGTCAGTGTAGGCTGGTGGTTCGGTTGATGGCGCTGCTGATGGCTCGGTTGGTGGTGCTTTTCCTGCTTCTGTTGGTTTGATTGTTTGCGATTCATGTGGCAAATCAGTTGCTGGCTGAGTTGTTGACTGGGATTCAACTGCTGCCGCACTCAGCAGCTCGGCTGGCTTGGGTTTGTCGCTCATCATGGACATTGAACAGCTGCAATGCCTCTTAGAAACGCAACTGACGAAACCCGACGATCAGGTCTGCAATGTCGTCGACTTGAAATCCCAGCCGCAACCCATGGTTCTTATGACACGCGCCATACTTGTATCACTGGACGCCTTGCCCAATCGGACAAAGGTGTTTGGAGGCCGCAGCAGTCTTGGCTGTGACACCCTCATGATGGCGTCGGCT